CTTGTACTTCTACAGATATCGCTATTGTTGTCTTAAGAGTTATACATTATTTCGTCTTAATACCTTTGCAAATCGAGAATTCATACGTTCAGCTTAAAAATTTGTTAAATCAGGACACGACAGAATAGGATGTACTTACATGTACTCGTAATGCCGACATGGTGTGTTTCAGCGTGTGTTTTTATTAAGTTAGCCTGGGAAATTCAAAAAAGGGCAATTTGTAAATTTTACGGTTTGATTAAACTCATACATTTGCATTCCATCAAATCATGCTGTTGCATTTCCGTACTAAACTCGCAACCGTTAAGCTGAAATGGAAAATTGAAAATTCGTTTAACAGTGGTGTGACATTATGGTTATAGTAAGTGCAGCCGTGTCATACGAATTGACCAAGTAAACAGTCATATTCCACTTTTGCAATGCTTATACCTACAGAAAAGCGGCAGTTTGGTTCCTAAGGTTTTATCAATTTGTTGTATGCGAGCGTGAACGTTTGTGATTATAAACGAAGTCAATGTGAATAATCTGCTTTGGTTGACATTAATCCATGGAGGCGTTAATCCACAATTTCAAGGTGTACACCGAAGGTGCGTCCAAGGTGCGACCAGATCCCGCCTGGCTTCACCTACACCGCCGTGGAGGCGCCCAAAGGCGAGTTCGGTACCTATCTGGTGTCGGACGGCACCGTATCGCTGCAAAATCAAGGCGCCCGGCTTCGCCCATCTCGCGGCCATCGACCACATCGGCATGCAGCACATGCTGGCCGACATTGTGGCCATTATCGGGATATCGTCTTCGGGGGAAGTAGATGGGTAGCTGTGAAATGTTACAGACCGTACCATTCATGTGTTTGGTCCGGAAATTGACATCTGCGGGTCCGGAACAATGGAACCCCTAAAAAAGTCACATACTGTACCAGAAGCCGTGATGGAAGTGGTTTGTTGGTGAGAAGAAGAAACGATTGAAGTTTCGTTACATCAGTGTTCATTACAGGCTTTTCTGCAGCATTAGCTTGTTTACTCTACTTTTATATTTTATGATGTAAAGGATTGCTAATATTAGGGTAGTGTTATCATATAAAGAAATTCTGACGTTTTCACATGTTTGCGCGTTCTTTTACAAATTACTACTTTCTACTTCAATGTCAGTACGATAACTACGATACTTTATATCAGAAGGGAATGCAGAGGTTGCCCATCTCCATCTTATGGGAATGGATCCCATTTTTTCCCCATTACCATTTTTCCATACTAAAATGGTATGGATGAAAAAACTGTATTCATAAATGGAGATGGATGGGAAAAACGAAGAAATGGGCGGAAATGGGAAATTTAGAATATAAGATAAAAATGACAAATCAATACATTTCTACAACTATTTTGTTTGGCAAAATCCACAAAAACCCCCGATACCTTCGCGCTTCGCGCGAAATCGTATTAATTTTTACATGGTAGTTCAAGAAAATTTTGACAAAAACAGCGCTTCGCGTGAATAGCCGATTGCCAACGCGGTTTTCCGTAAGCCGGCGCCAAGCAAGTTTATGGATGTACGTTTTAATTTAGTTTTTAAAAAATGGGACGCTGAAATGGGGAAGGAAGAAAATGGGTCTGATCCAAAAATTATGGAACGGAGATGGGTGGGAAAAACTGTAAGAAAATGGGGTAGGGATGGGATATGGAAAAAGCAGAAATGGGCAACCTCTGGAAGGGATTTCATTTTCTGGCAGGCGTCCAATTTTGCGCAAAACTGGCGGAAGGTGATGCCGGTCCGTCGTTCGCGGGATCAAAAAGTCGCAACATACTCGTATGCTAACAAAATTAAGTGCACTGTACGACTGAGTTCAAAAATAATATCCGTTTCGTACAAGTGCACTGCACCGCTTGCGTACAGAATGCTGGGTATGGGGCTATGCGACCATTTAGTCCTAGATTGCGTCCTAGATTTGTATTTGCGTCGTTTGGGGATGCGTTTTATGACGAGTACCATAAGATTCTTCCACAATGGGACTCTCTTTTCTTTGCTTACCGGAAGAAGCTGTACCAGTTTGTAAGTGCTCTGAATATCTGCTAGACTTTTGTGATTTTATTAGTTTCAAGCTTCTTTTTTCATATGGTCGTTAACCGGTATGTCTGCATTCTACTAGGGATTTAATTATCTAAAGTTAAATATATCTATTTTGCGGATTATATAGATCTACTGAAATCTTTAGCCTTATAATTATTATTTATTACATACTACTACTAACGATTCAGTTAGCGTGATATTTTCGTAACTGTAGCAGTTTTCGCGTGAAATGTGTTTCCATCAGCTAGTGTCTGGCTGTCTGCACTTTTTGTGTACCTTGAAGTGTTGCTCTGTTATTATAGTACTGTAATACTCTGACTCTCGTGTAACATTGTGTTTCTAAATTGTCATACTTGTATACACATAATTATACACATAATTGTTTGTAAAGTTATACATGGGATTGTTGTTAAAAGACCATGATCAGTTACAATTCTTGTGGTACTCGTTCTACCGGGTAGCTGAACAAAATGGCCGTCTGTTTTGTCATGGTGCGCTGGATCCGTCCAACACTTAATTGACGTTATCCTAGTTTCATTCGATAGAGCAGTGATTTTAACATTAAAAAGTTAAGTTAAGTCAAAAATTTCCATAAGGCTGAAATTTTTTATGAATTGTTTTGTAAAACTGGCTGGGTTTGGATGATGTCCTGGAAGCGAAAATCTGAAATTACCCGTTTCTAAATTAAAAATTCTTGCTATTCAACCATCAACATTAATGTAGCTTATTTTACTATTTCTGGTAGAGAGGTTGTTTCTCGGTTTTTTACTGTAAGAAACTTCACTATTCTGGCAACCATGCTTGGCCAGTGCGCTGAAGAACAGAGACTGTGCACGAGTAATTCTCGTGAAACCGGCAAACAAAGTTTTTGAAAGCAAATTTCTAACCAACGTGCTAAAAGCTTACCCGATTGAATTTTGTTTCAAAAAGGGCAATGTGTCAGCTACATTTTAAAGTTAAATCTGCATTTTTTGGTGCAACCTGTCATGCAGCCAAAAATTGTAACCGAAAATACTCGAAAATACCAAATATAAAACCGGCATTTTTCGAAAAAGTCACAATATGTCTTTCTTGTATAACTCGTTCAGCGTATGCAGCACGACCACAACTTTTTTTTTGTATTGAAAGAAAAGGTATTTAACTAAATAAAACAGTTAAAAATATTCAACAAGTCCGTAAGGGGAAGAAATGGCACAAGATTTTATGTTTTGCGAGCTGGGACACGAAAAATTTGCAGACAGTTTCATTTGGCATCATTGCAAACGAAGACGGCTTAATCTTTTCAAAACTTTGTTTTAGGTTTTTTGGCTAATAAAAATTCTCTATCGAATGAGCCTAAACAGTTTACGGTGCGAAAAAGGGTCTGCGAAAAACAAACAAAAACAGGAGACGGCCATTTTGTTCAGCCACCCGGTACGACGAGTACCACAAGATCATTCCAAAGCGCGACTCTCTTTATTTTACTTACCGGAAGAAGTTGTACCAGTTTGTGAGTGCATCGAATATCTACTGACCTATTACGATTTATTAGTTTCAAGCGTGTTCTAACGTATGATCGATCGTTGATCGGTGTCTGCTTTTTTATTAAGTTAACAAAATTATGTTAACAAAATTAAGTTATCAAGTTAACAAAATATTGTTAACAAAAATAATGACTTCTTGTTCTTGTCGTACTTTATACAACTACAGATATACCGAGATGCGCGGTACACTGCATAAGGCACTCGTTTTCATCAAACTGTGTACAGTTGGTAATTTTGCAGTACACTTACAATAATTACTTTTTGTATCATCAGTTAAGGAGAATTTGTACTATGGTCGCAAGATGGAAAACGAGATTTTCGAAATTCTACAGTTGTAATAAGAAGGGTTATATCTATTACTGGGCGGAAGTTAAGTAAAATTAGCTTGCAACGAAAAAAGTTATTAAAGTTTTTTGGTTGGCGATCAGGAAACAATTTGGCGGGCTGGGGTATTTTCTACACTACTGCCATCTGTGGTCAAAACCAGTGAAAGAAAGATTGCTTCGAGAAGATGCCTTGTGGTTGTTATGCACCATGCCAGATTGCAAGTGTGACAGAAACAGACAAGACTCATGTTTGCACATTGATGACACAAAGCATGGCAAAGGCGCTAGAGAATGGAAAGACACAGCGCTGTCCTGTGAGTGCACATGAAAGAGTGGCCGAAGTCCACTCTTCGGTGTGCACACAATCAGTGTGGCGGCACTGCAAGCGCAGAATCGGTAAGACCAAAGGAAAGCGCAGTACAAAAGAAGGTTCTTCGTCCCATCCTGAACAATTTTTAAAAAACAACTTCTAAAATCAATAACAATTCGCATCGGTTTCAGAAAATTTCACACTTTGATCAGACTAAAGAAAAATCATTTTCAAAAAGAATTGTGAAGCGTTTTTGTGGAAAATGTTTATGGAAAATCTCTTTAGAAAATAAAATAAAGTAACTTTGGGTGTAAAAAAGGTTGTTTTTTTCAATACCGGGTGGGTTTTTTTGAAAAATCGCTCCACAATACTTTAGTCATTCTAACGGAACACACTGCTGTTCTTGAATGAAAAATTTTAAAAATCTGCTTGAATTGTTATTGCGTCCGCAAAATAACGACCTTAAATCAGTAACTTTTACACTTTAAAATAACCAAACCGAGTTTAGACTTCTAATATATGTAGTGAAAATATCATAGTGTTGGGTGCAATGCATAGTTATCATGCAGCACAAGGACACGCATTGCGCCAGCGAGAACAGTCAAAAGAGGTCGAAATCAGTAGAATCTCTACTTAAGAGCGGTGTGATGCCGGCAACTGTATAATCTGACACCGGTCGGCAGGAAGGATGATCTGTTCTTTGTCTGTAGGTTTTCTATACACGCCGTGTACAAAATCGAATGAACATTTATCTGCGCGGAAAACCAGGATCGCATTATGGAGCAATTATGGGAAAAGGTCAAAACCATAACTCCTCGACTGTTTGCGAACATCCACGTCGTGTATCCGAGTCTGCTGCACGGTGACCTTTGGCCGGGCAACACAGCCATGACCGCGAATGGGACGCCGGTGTTGTTCGATCCGTCTGTCTTTTACGGCCACCATAAGTATGACCTGGCATGCGGCAGCTTATTTGCATCGTTTGGGGATGCGTTCTACGACGAGTACCACAAGATCATTCCAAAGCGCGACTCTCTTTACTTTGCTTACCGGAAGAAGCTGTACCAGTTTGTAAGTGCTCTGAATATTTACTGTCGTATTGCGATTTCTTAGTTTCAAGCGTGTCTAACGTATGATCGATCGTTGATCGGTGTCTGCTTTTTTATTAAGGATCTACTTTACTTATCTAGCGCTATATACTGTATGCATATTTTACGGATACAGATTTCACTGAAATGTTTAACCTTATAATCATTAATTATTACAAGCTGATAACGATTTACAATTAGTAAAGTATTGTGATCGATGTTTCATAACGTAACCAGTCATTTTCGCGTAAAAATGTGATTCCATCAGTTAGGTATCTGCACTTTTTATGTTACGTAGAAGTGTTCTTATTTTTAGTATTACCTGAACCAGCATACTCATTGGCAATATTACCAAAAGGAGCTACAGCTGATGGAACCGCAAGTGGGCATCGACATGCTCGAGTACATCCTGGAGTCTCCTGAGACCGGACGTGCCTAATCTGCCGCATACCAGACATACTGTAGTTCCATGCTGCATGTTCAATTGTTCGAGGACACCGCAATTGCAAAGACGATCCATGGTTTTGGCTTGCAAAAAAATGCTGTCTTCTGCACGGATCGTCTTTCGACTTTGGTCATAAGTTTTTCTCTCTCAATTTACACTTATCACAGTGCGCTTACGTCTGCAATATTTGTATTTTTTAGTTTCTAAAATGTGCGTTTACAAACGTCAGGTTTATTGTGTCCGTGTTGTACGTTTACTGTTTGCAACCGATTACGTTAATTTGACACAGTCTGCGACCTTGTATTGTAGGTATGTGCTCGGATCCTGCCGAAGCGCGAGCAGCGAGAACAATTTGATCATCGTTTTGATCGGTTGCTGGTCGTGAAAATCTGATTTCTCTCAAATATGTAATGAAGGTACACGCCACACGGCGGCATATAACTTTTCGTATGCACAGTTTATAGTAGTTGTCTCTTGGAAGACATAACAAATCTTGTATGTACTTCATCGTGCGTAAAACAGCAAGAATAAAGCAGGCGCCTGGCATCACAACTCACAAGCGACGAGAAAGTATTTCTTAACAATTCTGGCTATACAGTGATCGCCGTACAAATGATTAAAACTTGAAAATTTAAAAACTACCTCTTTTAACAACACAAATTTGCATCAAAAGTACAAATATTTTAAATTAAAAATTTACCACAAATAAAAAGGCTCAACACATGCCAACAAAATTACAGAGCTGCATGGAGAGTCCCAACAAACATTCCTTCATTGTGCCGAATTCAAACGCTGCTGCCGCGCCCCTTCTCCGCGCTGTTTATACAAAGCCAGACTGGACTCCATGGACAGCCGGGTGTTGCGGCTCACCGCGATTCGGGCGAAAATGATCATTTGACGTCCTCCAAGTTTCCAACTAGCGGCTGCAACAATACGAAAAGTCCAGATCACATTAATTCCAGACAGTTCGAAATTATCAACTGCAAATACGTCATTATGCAATCGGCATAAAGCGAGTTCGATTCCATGCGCACAAATATGAATTTTCTAACCTGTAATGGCTGAACCTGTAATGGCTGAACCTGTAATGGCTGCTAGGACACAATCCAACATTTTAACCAATAGTGTGTTCTGGCAAAAATCAACTCACCAGCGTCTAGATCGAGCATCTGAGTGAATAATAACAAACGAATTCCCGTTCATCAGCCATACATTGCGTGAGTTTCTCATTGACTCGGCCAGAAAATTCCAAATCCAAACAAACTGTTAGTAAGACTTTAAGTAGCAACTGAAACGCAAAATTGTTAAGCAAGTGCGTTCCACATGAACTCAACTACCCTACACGTGCCAACCAAAATAGCTAAAAATGTTAAAAGTTAGGCAAAAAAATTTCCAGTATCTCTGTTTATGGATATTGGCTGTTGTAATTGGACAAAACAATAAAATAATTACTACATTCGATACAAACCTGAAAGTAGGCAGGATAAATCCACACGCACACGAGTTAAATGCCGACCAACCGCTCAATATTCTGGTCTCCAAAAAACGCTGCACTGAAAATTTGTACGAGTATTTCTGCAACAATAAAATAATTCGTAATCTGGTTCGGACATGCACGTACGACGTTGCGCTAACCATGCCATACAGCTCCACACGCCGCTCTTCCGGAGCTCTAACACTAACCGCTATCATAAGTGGGATTCTGGTAGCACAACATTCCACCACCACGTCAGTCAGTTCCGCAGGGATGCGCGCAACCAGATTAGAGCGGACGGCGTCTTCGCTGATAGTCCCGGTGCGGATTCTCTCGGCATCTGCTGCACCTAAAATGCATGTTGATAAATTACATATTATTGTCTGTTAAATTCGAATCTACAAAATTTTTAGTTTTCTTAAAGCACAAAGCAGTTGCAGTTAAACATTTTCTACAATCCGAGTTCGAATTACGTTAAATTTTATCTAGTTTGCATTGTGCGTGCAAGAGCGGGTAAGCACAGTTGAAAACGCGCATCAAATAGTTTACCGTAACTGTTCTAACATAGTTTATTTTACATTCTTTAATCAAAGGCTTTACTCCGGCAGAATAAATTACCTTTTATTACGAGATGTAAGTCAAAATGGTGGTTAATGCCAAAAAACCTTCAAGCAAAATCGCGCACCCAGCGAAAAACTTACGTAGGCGAATACGAAACCGCAGAACTTCTTCAACTGGGGCAGGCGCGTGGTGAGCATTCCCGTTCGTAACCGCAGCAACCGTTTCGTTTAAAACGCGAGCCAGAGAGTTTCCTTCCAGCTGGGTGTTTCTGCAAATACTTAATTATCAACAATACGAAATGCATGTATTCAATGATTAGTTGGTCAGATTGAGTTTACATTATCGGCATCATCCGGCTGGCATAACGCTGCAGCGATCCTCTTCTCGCGAACACCAGTACCCGCACACCTAGTGCTACTCCTTCGACTCGGGCTTCGAGCATAAAATCAACGACAGCAACTGCGGGATCAACATTCTGGCAGATATTTAATCGTATATGCTCTTGCGTTGCTGTGTCTCCCCGTAGAAGAGCTGCTCGCGTCGCGTCTAAAATTTATACAGTAAAGATGTGAGCCAAGATCAGTTCTTTACAAGAACGCGGGCTCGTCCCCAGCTTTTTACTAAACGTGTTTTAAAAAAACCTACTTAAACATTGTAAGCAGAATTTTGAAAAAATAAATAAACATACAGCAGCACAATGAAGTATAAACTATAAAGAAACACAGAAACAGGATATGCAGGAAAAAACCTGTTGCTGTATTGCCAACTCTTACCTAGTTCAAAGCTGTAAGAAAATCACCAGATTTCAAAGTTTTGACAAAGTCGAAAACGAAACTGTTGATAATAATATTGTCTATTATTGTAACGTAAATACAAGTGCAACGATAGGAACTGAGGCAACTAAAAGAAAGAAACTGCGAAGAACTTAGCAAACCGCAATATCTCAGTGCAAACTGTTCGCAGATTGCAGTTTCAGGTTCCCAGTTGTCTGCTGCAACCTCCGCATCCATACGTTCCGACGGTTCCGTCAAGAATTTCAGAACTCACCCAGTGCGATCTCATAAGAATACTCTGAGTGCATTTTGAAATCAGTACAACCAGACGTGAATAAGATCGAGTCTTCAGAAAATTAAAGAAAAGGCAGAAAATTATTTTGCCCAACTTAATTAATTTTGGAGAAAATTTGTTCGCAAATTACTACTGTAATAGAAAAGACAGAAAACAGCTGAACAGCTGGCTGTTTTGCCAGCCGCCCAGGACGGCATACGGGGTTAGTAAATAAAGTGTAAAGACTAAAGCGGCCCGCTTAAATTAGTGGTGGAGGTCAGTTACATTTGGGTAAGCGTTGCGCGTCGGGTAACGGGAAAACGCGTAAAAAGTGTGACGTAACAGCGCGTAACCAAGCAAACATTCTGATTCGCAGTCACAAAATCTGGGATGGGTTTTCAGCTTACTTGTCCGCGTAAGCGTTGCGCTTCGACGTCGAAGCGCAACCATCACCCAAACTACGAGTAACTCGTAACTCTCCTGCACAGATCAACAAAATTTGTGTGTGTTTGGACCAAAAGTAAATCCAACGACCCAGATTCACAATCCAAAACTGATAATTAACTTTTTTGACGTAATACCACATTTACCACATTACAGCATTAAAAATGAGTTTTTCAGTTCCACGTCGGTGTTCAATTTCTTTCTTGGCACGGAAGCGTACTCGACTCACGATTGGACGATTGTTTTTCTGCTGAGTCATGGCTAATTTTTACGCGTCTCTCCATTACCCGACGCGCAACAGTTACCCAAATGTAATTGACCTCCACCAGTGACTAGTGACTGGTGGAGGTCAATTACAGTATTGAGGACTGACTTGTGAGTACGGTATCAGCAGGTACTTTGCAGTTTGCAGTATATTGTAGCGATAGAAATTAGATGTACCGCCAGTAGGAGTGTTAATTGCCTTTCTCTACTGATTATTGGTTGTTATGTTATGAAGATCAGAATCCTAGTTTTCCTACTTTTACCGACCGCATCTCACGGTCAGAAACATCTTGAAATTAGTCTTGCTGCAGCTTGCTCCGAATCTTGCCCCTGTGCTTATGCACTTCTTGCTACGCGCCTTCCGCGCTTCTTGCCCCACGCTTATGCGTTCTTGCTCCTCAGCTTGCTCGCTGATTCTTGCTACGTTGTACTTGCTAATAAACACCTGCGATGACCTTGTGTTGTGTTGCGTAATCGCTATGGGATGATCGTGCATCTCCCATCATTGTCACCCTGTAAACGGTAGTCAGCTTCCGGTCAGCATCGCTGCCGACCGTGCCAGCCTTTCCCACACTAACAACCGACAGATCGTGGTAAGGTGGATTAACCAACCCACTAGAACAGCAGTCAAACCGGCTGCTGTTACAATATCAATAGATTCATATATCCTTACGTCCTTATTTTTTGGAAATTATCTCTTAAATCAAGAGTGATTTTTTCATTAAGTTGTTAATTTTATAAAATAGAGCATCGCATAAACGTTCCTACCTTTATCTTTAAAAAAATCTTAAGTTTTGGAGAAGGTCTAAAGATTTTTTTAAAAGTTTAATACTTAAGGGTTGTTAGTACTTACAGGTTGTAGTACTTAAATCTAGTGCTACGTACGTTGTAGTACTTAAATGCTGTTAGCTTCTAGAGAGTTCGCAACTTAGCAACCTAAGCAATAGTTATTATTTTAAAACTGCCAATTACGTCAAACATAATTTTATTTTTTTTAATTCTTGAAACCTTTAAGACGTTCTTAAATCCGTTCGATTACCTCCAAATAACTATAAATTCTTCCAAAGCCCGCTTTAAAGCTTTCACATTTCAAGAATTTCTAAGAATTTCGCAGCGGGGCCGTTACCTCTAGATATTTTTAGCCTCCAGAGTTTCTAAATTTTAAAAATATCTAGAAATCTGAGTACCTCAATATCTCACGGTCTGAAGTGTCTAATTTATACGAGTATCTAATTATTCCTAAATATCTAACAGCCGGCCCGCGGCCCGTTAACTTCTGTATTCACTAACGTAGCGGCTCTGTGGTACTGGTGGTAGCCTGGGCATTAATAGTGGAGCAGTTGCTCAAAGCTTCTATTAATATTCACTAACCTACGTTACTTTGTATACTTTACTGATATCTATGGCAGCTTAGGTATTCACTAAGTTCTACCTCTAAATCTAATAAATATGTATTTAATTTATTTTTTTAAATAGTGAACAGCTGGCTGAATGGCTGAAAATCTTGCAATTAGTAGCTAAAGATGAATCCTGCGAGGTCACCTTGACACTTGAGCAACTGATAATTGTTTCCCACAGTTTTCATTAATTCTGTTAATTTCCATTTACATCCGTCGTACCAAAAAACTGAAGTTTTGAGTTGGCTAGATCGGCAATATAAAGTTACATAAAAAACGTGAAAAAGACAAACAAAAAGAAAAATTACGAGGTGATGACAATTTCTATAAAACTGGTCGAATTCAACCGGTAAGCTTGAAAGCTGTCAGCATTTCTACATGTTTAAAATATTTTCTTAGCTGACCTCGCTGAGGCTTTACATTTAAAATATTTCTCAAAATCTGTTTTATTGCTGTGCGATGTACATTTTGTAATTTCTTTCTTTCTTCCATACCTCGAACACAACTGGTCGCGCGCTAGCGCGACCGATACTTGTAATACATAATATTCCTACACTTTCATATATTGTTGTTTTTTCGCGAAAATTGGTTTCTCGTTTTGTTATGATTTGCTGGAATCTGGCTACCCTGATCTTATTGGATAATGCACACAGGGCTGCTGGATAGGCCGTCAAAAATCTACTTATTTGTTTTGAATGTTCTGTTATATTACTGCAGCGGTGCAGCCTCTGTTGTGAGACTTCTCATCGTGGCTGGCCGCAACACTCGGCTTTCCATGGAATCCAAACTGCCCTTGTACAGTATCTGCATAAACTGATTAACAGCAAGGGAAAGCGGCGCGGCAGCAGCGTTTGCATTCGGCACAATGCTGCAGAAACAGGAGCATGAAAGTGAAATGATATAGGTCAGGGAATAAGTATTTTAGGAAATCCAAAACGTGAAAATGCGGGCGCACTGCAAAGGCTACGTCGATCTCGCCTGTACGTATTCCATGTTCCTATCCGGACCATAATCCGGTACGTAGTCTGGTTGTACCGGAAGCAGACTTGTGGGTGAGCAACGCTGAAGGATTGCTCCGCTGTTTGCTGGGACTTCCTGCAAATCTGTAATTTTGTTAGCCTTGTTATAGATTATGTCAGTGGTAAAATTTTCGTACAATCTTCGAGGAACTCCAAAAGGTAAATGTTATTGTGTAATAATTTTGTTGTTACGGTGTGATGGTACGAGGGTCCGGCATCAAAATGAGATCTGCGCGCAGTACGACGCCTACGATCAAGTGGAATTAATTCGATGTCCCTATCGGTTCACGGGGACTGCTACGATCGCTACCTGGTGCGCATGGAGGAAATGCGGCAGTCGCCGCGGCTCATCCGTCAGTGCCTGAATAAGATGCCACCTGGCGAGATCAAAGTGGACGATAACAAGGTGGTGCCTCCCTCCCGAAAGGAAATGAAGGTATGTTATGCTGTTGTTGTACGCAGGGGTTTTTGATAAGTTGATGCGAAATAAAGTAAAGTCCGTGAACATATGTTTAAGAGTAAGCGAGAGTGCATAATTTGATGAATAAGAACAGATTGCGGTTTTAGTCTTTAGGGGATTTCTTACTTACTTGAGAAACAGGCTTTGCATTTGATTAATGAAGATTCTCGTTGCATGTTGCAATGATTGTCAGTTTTGCTTTAAGCACTTCCAGTTTCATCATTTTTATGATATTACGAAGCAGGAAGGCATCCAGCTGATGCAGTTCTAGTATAATTACTTCTATGTATCTTTTGTGTACCAGCGTGGAGATGTGATCGTAAGGACGTCAGTCGGCTTAGGCACATCTAACGATTCACTTCCCCGAAGACGATATCCAGTGTCCCGATGATGGCCACAATGTCGGCCAGCATGTGCTGCATGCCGATGTGGTCGATGGCCGCGAGATGCGCGAAGCCGGGCGCCTTGATCTTGCAGCGATACGGTCGGCTGGTGTCGTCCGACTTCAGATAGATACCGAACTCGCCTTTGGGCGCCTCCACGGCGGTGTAGGTGAAGCCGGGCGGGATCTGGACGCCTTCGGTGTACACCTTGCAAATGGTGGATCAACGCCTCCATGGATTAATGTCAACCAAGGCCAGATTATTTCCAATAGTGTACAGGTTTAAAATCTAACCGAATGTGAGAGTGTGTTGTACTCCCGTTTGATTTAGTGTGTTTTTCACCTGGGTCGTTTACACGATGGCAAATGCTAGAGGAGATACTGTATAGTTAATGTTGACAGTTATGGTGGCTTAATTGGTTGTAATTAATCCCTAAAGGCGTTTATTAAAAGAACGGTGGCGTTTACTATGGTTGTTACTGGTTGTCAAGTTCCTTCACTTCCGTTTTATACCGTGTTGAGGTAATGTTGAGTGACTGAGCGACAGTGTCGCAGTTTTTGTAGCAGGAATTCTGTGGAATGATGCGGGCGATCTTGTTTGGTTTCGTCTGCGTATCCGTGCTAGTGCGGTCGGGATGTTTTGTTTCCGGTCAGGCTCAGAATGACATTCAACCGGGCAATAATGGCTTCAATAAATCCGTGGCATGGGGACAGTTCTTTCCGAAGTTTCCGGATATGTGGAAAGCTGTGACCAGCGCTATAAAAGAGGTTAGTAATATTTGGTTTTTCGTTAATTGACATTATAGTCTACAATTCGCATCCGCGTTTTCTTTATTTACTGATCAGCATATAGTTGTAATTTTTATTCCTCGACAAGTTACACGAGCTAAACAATAATGCTGTCAAAATGTGAATTTTGCATCATGTTAAGATGAACTGTCATAGAATACACAATTTTCCTCCGCAGTGGAGAACATCATTCGTCAGTGTTATATAACGGTAGGAATGTAACGCGGTAGGAAAGTCTTTAAGTTTTGTCCATTCTGATTCCGATATTCAGCTGTGCGTACTACCTCGTCCCGCAGCGATCGAATATTTTAGGTTTGAATTATTTATGTATACGTCTAATGGTAAATTAAATTTTCATAGCTCGCATAATTGTTATTTGTTACACCTTACCACATCTATTTGGCTTCTCTTTTTCTTGTGCCAATGACTAGATTGTGGCAGCATATAATATAATGCAATCTTCGACGCGTACCAGTATGAATTATGCATGCATGGTTGATATTGTAGTTTGTATCAGTGCTAACTTTTAGAACACCCGTATTAGTAAAATTGTAAATGTATAATTGTTGTACATAATGTGACGGTATTGTTGTGCATGATGATGACAGGCTTCGATGACGGATATGGATTTCTATTACCGGCAAACACTGAATTTTTTCCGGAGTGGACTGTCGAATCCATCCGCTGAACTCTCCGACAGCACACCGGGCTACCGCACCTACCAGACGGAAGTGCGAAAGGCCTTACTCTATCTGGGCCTGCCGGGCCCCACCAGTCCCGGCACCGAAGACCGGACTGCCGGCACACTGCGCTATGCACTGCAGTCGCCCTTTCCGCTCTTCCAGAATACCGGCATCACGGAGCAGGACGGTCCGATCTGGCCCGTCGGGTAATTGCTCCTCGGGTAGCATATTTTGAGAATTAATCATATACGATGCTATCTACTACAGAATAATTATTTAATTAAAATTCTCGATAGTAAAGTGCCAAACTGAAACCTTATTAATTTTTACTCTTTCCAGATCGGTATTCATATACAGATATACTGTACCTAAGTATCATGTCAGTCGGTAATTCGTACTTCTTCTCAAATTGCTACTCTAAAGCAGATGATAGTAAAACTTTGCTTCTAATTTTCTTATGTTTATGAAACGGTGACCCTTTTAATTGATCGTTGTTGTTTGCTGTAACAGACCATTTGTATGTTTGTCCCGGAAATCGACATTTGTGGGTCCGGAACAAGTAAATCCCATAAAAAACGTCACATACTGTACGAGCAGCCGGGATGATGCCGTGATGAAAGTGGTTTGTTGGTAAGGATTCCATAGAATCGCTTGACGTACTCATAGTACGCCGTCCTACGTATATTTATATTAGTAGTACATACTACATAGCGCTTCTTGATAATTACGAGTACTGTGTCAGTTGATTGTGGTGTTGAATGCAGCTACGCTTGTATATTGCACTTAATTTGCACATACATGATGACGATTATTAATTTTTGCCGGGTGACGATATTACCAAATTATGTCAAAGTTTTGATACTGCCTAAAAAGTTTTAGTGTTTGACAACTGGAAACATATACTTAACTTACGAATAAGAGGTTCATGTTAAAATAATAGTAACAAACAAGTTTCAAGAGGGTGGGCTTGTATTTGTAATAACTATTGTTAATAACTTAATATAGACGAGTGTACTGTACTTCTAGGTAGATATAGATATATGTTTTTTTATCCAGAGAACTAGTGTTGTCATATAAATAAAATTGTGACGTCTTCGCTTATGTGCGAGTTTAGCTTGTACGCGTTCTTTTACAAAATACTTCAGTGTTTGCACATCACAAAGTAAAGGGTTCCATTTTCCGACAGGCTTCCCATACTGGCGGAAGGCGATACCGGTCCGGCGATTCGCGGAACCAATTACACCACGGTGTACTCGTGTTGCGAGGGATTCGAACTGCCGGCCGTTCCCACCAGCTTCCCACCCACCCGCTTCACGTCCATCATGGATGTCCTCATGTTCCTCGACAGGCCGGCGGCACCCGATAACCGCGTTTGCCAGGAAATCGCCAAAGACGCGGCGGGAATTTGAATCACATTGTTTGTTGTTGTTATTAAGTTTTGATCGTTTCCGGTTGTCAAATGTCTCGCACGTGACTTGCTAAACGGGTTTTAATGAAATTATTAAACATGGTTTACAAATACATACGTACAGCACATCAAAAAGCGTGTTTTGCATGAAAATAAATCGCCGCTCGAAAACAAATTTGTAGTTTGCTTTTTGAACGTTGTTTTGTAAGTGCATAGTACGCTACAACATCATTTATTTAATATGCCACAAATCTTGCAGGTACTTACTTACAAAGTATCCGAATGTTAACGTTGGCATTACACTGCTAACAAAATCTTATTAATAAAATGTATATCAGATGAAAATTTACATTCTGAAATGGCCATTGGTATAGAACTAATCGTACAACATGCGTCATGCATTGTGCAATACCAAATTTTATACAACAGTCGAGTTTGAGTCGGCCCATACGGCTTGCCAAGCTGACCAACTTCCGGTTCTGCCGTTCTGCGTGTCTTCATTGTTGTCCATGTCGGGCATGTCCACAGCGGGCGGAATGCGAAATGCCACCGCCGAAATTCGATTTTCAGTTGTACAATGTACAGTGTACACTTTTAAAGTTTTCCACTTTTGCTTTTAATTTTTAAATGCGCTCGTCTGGGCTCGTCTGAGCTCGTCTGAGTTCCGGACGTATTATTATTTACATTTATAGCATTGCAAATCTGGGAATATGTTCGAGTAAGATTTCCCAGTTACTGAGTTATGCGAGGATTCCTGCTCGATAACGGATCGAACTTCTTGGGGGCTCCCAAACGCGATAGCAGCTTACTGCGAAGCAGAACGTGAGTTCGGGTTCTGTGGAGGACTTATCGTTTGATGTGGATTTGTTATTGTTGTTGAGTGGTTCTTGGATTTTAATCTGCGGTGATCATTTCGGTAAGTACGAAAGTTAAACAAGAAAAATTTCATGCTTGTGTATGATCTATCGATATCGGATATCCGTTGGTAACTACTGTATTAATTTCCTGGTTGTGAACTTTTCACTCTGAGTGAATTTGCAGCACCGATCACCTGCTGTACGTGTGCAGTTTTGCGGTACTGGTTATTAATTAAACAGCAGATAGACGCAGTTATGGTTAGGAAAAGGGATTTTTGATATTGTGGTAACCGTGCCATCTTAATAACGATTTTTGTTCTTACTTGGAAAGGGTCCTCCGATATGTCTTGGCTTTAGCCTTTATTCAGTTTTTTTTGTAGTATTATTTTTAGGATATTCGTAAAATTTTGTACGATCGAAGTGTTTTTTTTTTTGAAAATCTGATTAGCAACTGGACTGTTTTTATCAAAACTACCTAGTGCAGCGGTTTAATTGGTTGCTGGTTAACCATCGATCGTCATCTTGTGAAGGGAAATGTCATCCAGCAGCTCCATCTCTTCCGAACACCTGCGCTCATCCGACATGGAGGTGGATGATGACGATGCGGATGATCTGGACATTATGCCGACCGCTCGTCCGCTGCACTGGGATTCGGACGGCGACGACGACACGCCGCAGTATCAGTCCAAGTTCGGTCGGCGCCGCGGCGATGAGACCCTGGAGGAACTGGTGGACAGCCTCCCTTCCACTGACCGCATTAAAATCCGCCACATCGCCAAGAAGAAGGAGGCCCAGGCGCGTCTGCACCAGCGGACCATCCCGCCGGCTTTCGTCAATAACCACGTGGTCCCTCCGGGATACGAGGTAAATTAACGTTGCGCTGGAATTAAATTAATTTGAAGCTGTACGTATTAATTTCACTTTTCACCGGCTGCTATTAGCTAAACGGTATTATAGTTATTTTTTTATTGAATTAAAGTTGAATCTGTATTACTAATGGTAAGAAATTCATTCGCAAGATGTACCCACTACAAAGGTAATAGCAATTGTTTTTTGACAAAATGGACGATTAAGTAGATTAAAAGCTACAAAGTGAGTTCGCCTCTGTAAATACAATCGAAATAACGAATGAAGAATGTATCCCAGTTGATGAATTTTTATTGGTAAGGTGCTAAATAAATTCAAAATAATTTTACTGTTTATTTTTAATACATATGACCTAAACGAACTGATTGTTACGGTTTTTCGTTGTTAACAACTTAACATGCTTTGAATGACGTAGTACGCATTTACGTATAACACACGCTTAATTTTTGTCGTGCAGTTTAAGTTTTGATTTTTGGGGTGCATCCGAAATCTGACTCGCTTTGTGTGAGTTGGAATTTGCTCAATGGCTGGTTTTTGCAATTGAAGATTTTGAATTGTCTGGAATTGATATGATCTGGACTTTTCCGTATTGTTGCAGCCACTGGTTGCGCGACGTCAAATGATCATTTTCGATCCGATCGCGGTGAGCCGCAACACCCGGCTTTCCATGGAATCCAATCTGGCTTTGTATAAACAGCGCGGCGAAGCGGCGCGGCAGCAGCGTTTGAATTCGGCGCAATGAAGGAATGTTTGTTGGAACTCTCCATGCAACTCTGTAATTATATTAGCATGTGTTGAGGCTTTTTATGTGTGGTAAATTTTTAGTTTAAAAAATTTGTACTCCTGATGCATATCTGTGTTGTGTAAAAAAGGTGGTTTTTAATTTTTTACGTTTTAATCATTTGTACGACGATCACTGTATAAACTATATCCAGAATTGTTAAGGGAATTTTCTCGTCTCTTGTGATGCCTGCTTCATTCTTGCTGTTTTACGCAAGATGAAGTGTAAGATTTGTTGTATTTCTAAGAGACAAGCTATAAACTGTGCATACGAAAAGTTTTATGCCGCCGTGCATGTTAATTACTCAATTAAGAGAAATCAGATTTTCACCACCAGCAACCGATCAAAACGATCAAACTATTTTTGCTGCTCGCGCTGCAGAACCCGAGCATAATACCTACAACAGAAGGTCGCAAACTCTGTTAAATTAACATGATTGGTTGCAAACGGTGAAGGTACAACACGGACACAATAAACCTGACGTTTGTAAACAATTTTGAAACTAAAAAAATGCAAATACTGCATTGACGAAAGCATACAAGCGCGTAAGCGCACTGTGATAAGTAGATAAGTATAAAACTATAAATTGAGAGATATAAAAAGGTATGACCCAAGTCCATAGACAATCCGTGCACAAGACAGCATTTTTTGCAGGCCAACAATACATATGCATCCTTGCGGTGTTCTTGAAAAGTTGAATTCATATGCAGCACGGAAATATGTCTGGTATGCGGCAGATTAGGCACGTGCGGCCTAAGGAGCAGGAGCCTCCAGGATATACTCGAGCATGTCGATGCCCACTTGCGGCTCCATCAGCTGTGGCTCCTTTTGGTAATACTGCCAATGCGTATGCTGGTTCAGGAAATAATACTGAAAATAAGGGCATTTCTACGTAACATAATAAGTGCAGATACCAAGAGTAACTGATAGAATCACGTTTTACGCGAAAATGACTACAGTTACTTTAAGAAACATCGATCACAGTAACTAAACCGTTATCAGCATGTAATAACTGATGATGCTAAAGTTATACATTTCACTGAAACCTGTATCTGTAAGAAAAAAAGCATTACGCTAGATAACTAAATCCCTACTAAAAAACAGACACCGGTCACCAACCATGCATACGTAAAAACACGCTTGAAACTAAGAAATTGTAATTCATCCGTAGGTTAGTAAATATTCAGAACACTTACAAACTGGTACAGCTTCTGCCGGTAAGTAAAATAAAGAGAGTCGCATTGTGGAATGATCTTATGGTACTCGTCGTAGAACGTATCCCCAAACGACGCAAATAAGCTGCCACAGGCCAAGTCATACTCGTGGTGGCCGTAAAAGGTGGCCGGATCGAACAACACCGGCTTCCCATCCGCCGTCATGGCGGTGTTGCCCGGCCAAAGGTCACCGTGCAGCAGACTCGGGTACACGCAGGTGTCCGAAAACAGCCGAGGAATTACTGTCTTGACCTTTTCCCACAATTGCTCCATAACGCGATCCTGGTTTTCGCACAGATAAAAGTCCATTCGATTTTGTACGCGGCGTGTATAGAATACCTACAGACAAATTTCAGATCATCATTTTTACCGGTATTACATTGTTCAGTTGTCAGCATCGCACCGCTCGCTATATTACCTCTGGATGCAAAATTAACGAGTAAGTGTAGTGTAAAATTAAAGGCTGCACATGTTGTCGTTTAACGTAAAGCGGCATAAACGAGTGAGTTACGCAGTGGATTGCACATCTCTGTACAAGAAAGAGTATAGCTGTATTATATAAGTACTTACAAGTTACAATAACAAGAAACCATTAATATTGTACGACAATAACAAGAAACCATTAACATTTGTTATCAGTAATAAATAAAGAACTGAAACTGATCATGGTTGTTTTACAACAATTCCATGCATATCTTGTGTAATACACCTCTACAATTTGCAAACACAAAGTGTTGTTAGAACGAAAACGCTTTTAATATTATTAGACATTGTTGTCGTAGTACAACAAAAACTACCTACCGTCCAGTCATTTTCCCAGGTGTTATCGTTCAAAATGTACCCGCAACTAGTTGGGCACACAAAGCCGAAACTCTTCACAACGGCATCATGGCCAATGTTCCACGAATCGCGCTTTTTCGTCTTCCGTCCGACGCACCATAAAGGGCGTTGGATGTTATCCAGATGCATACTGCGCGCAAGCATCAGATGATATTAAAATATTATTCCTGTTTAAGTAATCTAAGCAGAGCCATTCCAGTCACAGCGCATTAGTTATTAATACTGTTCGTAAACATAATCGTAATAGTACTACTATCGTAAAAAGTTTGTTATATCTGTGTATTATAAGACTTTTGCCGTTGGCGGTGTTCGGATCTACCACTGCACAGATAAATCCATATGTACATATGTATTTTGGTACTTATATAGATATGTACTTGTATGCAAGACGGGTAACCGCATATGCATGGAATGCGTGTTTTCACTGTTTTGCATTGGCTGCTAAAGCATAAGAAATCGGAAGTACACGCGTAATTTTCAGTTTTTGTTGTGTGCTGTACTTACCAAGCCAGTTGGTAACCTAGCAGTCCCTCTGCTTCAGCGGATAAAGGACGCATGTCCATATGCTCCAGTATAAGCTCTCCGCCGTGCTGGCCACACAGACGCACCTGGACGATATACTATAGTGTTACCTTTGCGCACCGAGCAAAAAAAGGAAGAGCTTGTATGAAATCGTGCACTGGTTTGCGGTGAACAAGTATAGATATATGCAACACTAAAAGTACTTCATTAATTTAGCTTAGCGCTTAGTTTATTGTTGCCATATCTAATGTTGCCGAATATTTAATTCAAATTCAAACTCCCAGTTGATGCGCGCAAATATGAATTTGCTAACCTGTAATGGACGGGGCACTTTCACTTCGCCGGTGGCGGCAATGGTCTCCAGTCCTACTTTCTCACCCTGGAACATGGCCACCGCCTGCAAATCGTAAACGCTCACCTGGATAGCCTTATTCGACCTATCTAGGGTTTGCACAAATATTGTTAGCCACTATAACAGAATTTTAATGCGGTTTGCATTTCTAATTGCGTAAGCATATGCAAACTGGTACTAAGAGAAATTTTCTGAACGCAGCGCAGCAAAAGCACAATAAATCACGAAAGATTTTGTTACAAAATAATTCAATGATCGTTTATATTTACAACTGCGTGCACGTGATCATGGAAGAAAAACCAACATTTGAACATTTAAGCGACAAAACATAATTTTGTAGTATTATAATTATTAAATTATTACAATGCGCAAGGAGCAATATTATTTTGAAGCAGTAATGCATGATATAATAGTAATTCATGATATTGATGAACTGAAATTAACGTAAGATGAGTGTATACGCAAGTATCATACTCGTACTGCAAATAAAATCATGATGCTACTAACCCCGCTGTTTTTGTTCATCTTCACAAAGACGGTCTTTCCTCGATAAGTGCCCTTTCCGGTGCAGTTGATATAACCGTTTAACACGCCGTTTTCGTTGTTTCCGTCCGATAACAATGCACTACCAACAATATTGCACTGCGCCATGCTTTCATAATCCGTCGATACATAACTCTGCACCGGCATTTTTAAATGCAAACAGAATTTAAAATTTTTCACAAAAACTGCACAAACAAATCTACAACGCATGTAGTTACAATTATTAAAAACTGGAAACAGAGCGACAATAAAATACACTGTTATACAAAGGGAAAAATAATGGAAACACACAACCGGTGCTGCGCCAAGTGGTAAGTACATCAGATGATCGGCCGGTAATCGGTAAGTTTAGTACCAACCGGCTTTGTTTGAGGTAACAACGATATATCCGAACGGCAGGTTACTCACTGGTTTTTTGAATGTGTTAAATGCCGATTGGTTGTTGCGAATATTTAGAGTTGTAAACCACACCTGCTTGCCACAAAAGCGAGAAAAATGATGCGCAACACGTTTTGTGATATCATTATGACTGCATGGGCAATAATTCTTATCGCTTCCAGAACATTCGGTAAACAAAACACGTGTAACTGATATCGAATTTCAATAATTGTGACGTGTTTCGTGTTTTGTCCCATATCGCCTCACAATCAGTACAACTGTGTAACTGTATTGTTGTACATCGCAGTACACGAATTTTGTGATCTTGATTTCTTATTTCTGCATATGTTTTCGCGATATCTTTTAACTCGTTACGCCAACATTTTAATAATTTTGTTGTATATGTAGTTTTGTTGAGTGGAGCACTGACAATTCTTGACAAGTGACACATCACCTGATTCACTTCCAAAGGTAAGTTATGCGTTTGCTTAGTATACTCTAAGCGCGCATTTAAGCAGGCCGAATGCGTTTACAATTATTATTATGTCAGTTTCACAATTTAGCGAAAAACAGGCAGAAAAGACGTTCTGTGCGTACAAGAATTATGTGAATTCTCGTACATGCAATCCATATTATAATTTATATATGTTTATGTGCATTTATCTCGCTCTAGTCATAAAGGGTAAGTTTTGAATATCATTTGTATATACACTCGTACGGCCAGAACGAGGCAATTTATTTTGAGTTGTTTAATTTGTTACTCACCAAACTCATATATTTAGATGCTGGTTTGTAAAACAGAATTCCATAGGATGTATATATTCATATATTTAAAATTTTCATAAAGAAAACATTAAAGCAAAACGTACTGAATAAAAAAAGACTTTCCAATTCTGAAAACTTTGAAATATACTTCTATATAATGAGTCTAAATAAAATCAAATAAGTATTAAATTCCTTTATCTTGCAGTGTGTGCCTGTCCTGCCGAATCTCACCTCAGCATCCGTTGCATGGTCCGATATCAACGTTCTGTTCGGGTGCGGCGGCCGCTTACAAACTCCGGACAGTTGCCCTCATGGAAACGTGCAAGGTCATCTTCGTCCTGGGCGCACCAGGATCCGGCAAAAGTACGCTCTGCTCTCAGCTGGCCCCCTACCTCGGTTACCAGCATCTATCCGCAGGCGAACTGATCCGCCAGGAGGCCGGCAACCCGCAATCACCGCACGGGAAGACCGTGGCGGAAGCCATCCAGACGCCCGGGGCGTTCGTCCCGGCGGAGGTCACCGTGGATCTTCTGCAGCGCGCCATGCAGAGCTTCTCCAAGAATGCGTTCTTAATCGATAATTTTCCGGTGAATATGGCCAATCTCCAGGCCTGGAATGAGAAGATGGCTGGGACGGCGGAAGTCCCGTGTGTGTTGCTGTTGGAGGTGTCCAAGGGGCTGGCCACGGAGCGGTGTTTGGAAAGGAAGCGCGGGGATGACACAGCTCTGGTGCTGGAGAAACGCTGGGATTCGTTCATGGAGCAGACGCGGCCGATTGTCCAGCACTACAGGGAGATGGGTGTGCTGCGCACTGTCGATGGCAGTCAGTCGGCGGAACTGGTGTTGGAGGATGTCAAGCGGCTGCTGTCCGTTATGGGCAAAGATACCCAGCCTGATCGGGACATGTCGGATGGGTAGAGTGTTGGGGTGTTCCAGATTGAAGAAGTGTAGTTCCTCGTTTTTACTTTTAGATACGATACAAAAATGCATTTACATATCAAGTTCCGTTTTTGTACCGTTATCGTTAAACGCTAAAATGCGGTACTATCGTTAAATAATTGGCTATACATATGAGCTTATGCAACCAGCCTAACATTTCCTTGTATTTGTCCCCTTATGGTTAATATTATTGCGAAAATTATGTGGTTACTTGCAGTTTGAATCTAAAAGTGAAAAAGAATAAGCACGCGTTTCTTACGATTAGTATCCAGATACATACAGTATGCAGATGCTACGGTACGGTAGTTTGAGACAAACGTCAGTAACGATTCGTACTTCTTCGTCAGTAATGATTTTATGCATATTATGATATTATATAACGCTTATTATAGTCCCCTCCAAACACGTCCAGTTTCTGCACTTTTTAAATTGTAGCGGACTGTTCGCGATAACGCCGTCTTTTCTGCTCCCAATCAGAATGTCGAACGAAAGAAGGTACTGCACTTCTATGTTAATTGTTGTGCATCTTTTAAGTACATTACAATATTTCTGTTCATATCGTGCACTTCTTTCCATGAGAACGGGGAATTTGGGATGCTTAACTTCATATCAGAATCTACATCAAAGTCGCTCATAAAAATACCATAACTATATAATAATTATGCAGATTTGTATTATGTGTATATCTATATTTACATATAGATACGATCTTATCTCTGTATGTGGATGTGCAAATGAGAGTACATTATATGAAAGACGTTATCTCGTATAAACGGCATCAGTTATTAATACTTCTATATAAGTACCGGTAGTTTGAATATTTTCGTATAAGATGCTGTTATAATGATTGTGACGGAATGATCAAGATCTGGCTATTAGCAGCTAATTTATTTTCTTACACTTACTCTGTATTTGGTATATGTATCGGAGAAATTGAAATTGCTTAACCATGAATTTGAATTGACGTAGCCCATGACATTTTCCCGTTTTGCGCACTGCTTAATGATTCAAGGAGAAGAGTTGCCGGCGCTCAAAAGACCTACAGATCGATCGTCAAGTTTTCCTTCAACGAGCAAAGACAGATAGTCCAATTCGCTAATCAGCTGTACGTCAAACGTTTTTTGTGATTGTCGAAGGAAAAAAGGAAAAAACCGAAGCCGGCGTGAGAGGACCAGTGCGCAGTGAAACGGGAGTCGTTTATTCTGTATGTTCGGCTGACTTGATGTCGGGATCGATAAAGAATCCCAGCGTTGCAATTTCTGCTCTTTGCCACAATCTGCTCCCATTTTTCCTGGTACCTTGTGAATTGCCGTTGGATCATTAAAATCAGAAGTTTCTTGGTCCATAATGGTTCACATCTGCAGTGGAATTTCGAAAAAAATGCATGCATTTTCATTTATACAACGCAGTTACCAGAATTTTGATTAAGACAAAAGTTACAAAAGTATTATAAGTGTTATTTGCAAATGATTGCAGTTGAATTGTTTATATTTCATTTTTACAAACGTGCCCATGCAGGATTCAACTTCACACGCAGGTTTTAACGTACTGTAGACCAAATGATAAAATGTATCATGGTCAGCGGTGCATCGCCGTGACCTTCACGGAAATTGTATGCGCCGGGAATATATATACTCCGAGTATCTGTTGATTATGTATAGAAGTACAATACGAGTATAATTCGCATTGCATACATAATCCGTAGTGACTCTGGCTTGAAATATACAAGCGCTTACTGTAGCGCACTAGTAATTAATCACACTCTGTTAAGAAGTACCACCCGTATAAAAAAGTGGCAGCACAGTTTATTAGTTAATTCCCAAGTGTCCTTCATTTTGCATATTATCCGAAAGAACACACATACACACAGAGCCGACAATGCCAAAGCCGTTGCTCTTGAGTCGGTGTACACTTGTGGGGTTTTTTTATGAGCAGTCCTATAACAATCTGCTCCCGGAGAATATCGAACGAGGCAGAAAGCGCTCGATGAGGCAATCCACCACCGGATAGATGTGTTTCCGTCGCGATGCCGATTGCACTACAAGCGCAGTGCTCCACAACACTATCTATCGGCATCGACAAACCCGGGAAGAAGCCACACACAGGCGCATATACCGGGCCACACACAGCATTGCACGGTATGCCGGGCCCTGAAAAACTGTACAAATAAACTGTAAAATTGCTGTCTTTCAGCGGGCGCGCGCGGGCCGAAGGGAAATCGATAACGCAGATTACAACCTCTCTTCAACATTCCTTCATTATCATAAATTTCTCAGTGAGAGTTTGCGCGGGGAATACAGCCGGTTGGACCGGCAAAAAGCGGGAAACTGTAGAAATCGATGGCATTATGAACTGTGTTCGCGGTTGTGTACAGAGGAAATATTCTCCAATTATACACGGTTATTAGGTTTGCCGTAGAATTGTGATGACAAGGGTAGATATTGTGCGATTGGATAGGCGAGATTCTGTTCGCGTGTACGCCTTTCTGCGGCAACCGAACCCGGATGCAGCGCTCACCACCGTATTGACACTCGCTCCGCCTGTTTATCGACAGCCGCCAATCGGAACAGCGCATTTATTGGTTGGGCAAATACGGCCGCTGCGCCGCCCAAATCTTTTACCAGCGATATGTACACAACACGGACAGGCCGATGCACGGTATATATCGTGGGAAGAGGGGAATATTAATGGATCGGGATAGATGTGAGATATATACATATTGTGCATTGGGAGAGACACGCTGCTGATCCCCGGCAAAAGCATGTGCACAGAAGGGATTTTTGGCTGAGGAGTATCGAACCTATCTGGCCGCTGTTGTGGCGTTAGTGGGCGCAAATGCTTGTAATACCATCCTTGGCACTTTCTTAGCCGCTAGTGTACTTGTCGTATTATTGTACACAACGGCAGATGCTCCAGTGTATTGTGTTACCGGGGAGAGATTTCGCCTTCTCCCCATCGCGCCGCTGTTACTGCCACCAGCACTAACAACGCCATGCGCCTGCGTGACTCAAGTGCCTGATAATTTCTTCCCCCACTCAAATTATATTCACAACCAATAACGCCGGACGCGTGTTACGGCACTAATCGTCAAGTCACTCGCCGTGTGTGTAAATCATTTATTTTTCATACCGCTCTAATCTGTGATGGATTTATCGGACACGTACAGGGATTAGCAGCGACCCGGCCCTGTTATTTGGTCACAGCCGGCATCATGCAGCGTCAGGAATCACGGCCCTTGGACAATGAGGGCTACCAGGGACCAAAAATCACCTTCGGCATCGATTTACCGGATGACACCTGGAACAGTAATCAGCCGCATCCGGACATTAATTCCCCGTCTTTCACCGGCAACAACGGCGCCTACCATGACCGCTTCCCCGGCGCGGCCGCCAATAAAGTGCACCGCTTCAAGGATAAACTCCGCGAGGAATTCTCCACCGGCTTCATCATTCCCAAGATTTTCTATTTTTTCTTCTTCTGTGCTTTCGGCAGCTTCTTCCCGCTGATGGCCATCTACTTTAAAATCTGGCCTTCACCGCCGCGCAGGCCGGCATCCTCATCGGGGTACGGCCCTTCATCGAGTTCATCTCGTCGCCCATCTGGGCCAAGATTGTCGATAAACTGGGCCGGCTCAAGTGGATTCTCATGTTCTCCTTATTGTCGCTCATCGGCTTTACATTGACCATCAGCCAGATTCGGCCGAAACACTCCGGGTGTCTGGCTTGGAACCTCACCCACTACTGGTTCCTGGATCCGCTGGTGGAGCTGGATAACGACGCCGATATCGGGGAATTCCCGCAGACGCAGACGGTGCCGGATCACGATATGCGGCTGCATCTCCCGCCGGGTCACGTGGTCGGCTGGTCGCCCATGAAGTTGAAACAGTATAATGTGATTAATTACAATAAGGAGGATGAGAACGAGAACGAGTGGTTGAAACCGCCGTTTAGTGCGGCGGTGTACCGTGCGGATAATGTCGCCAAGACCTTTTGGACGCTGCTGCTGGTGGTTATATTAAGTGAGTTCTGCGCGTCGCCGGCCATTCCCTTGGCGGATGCCGCAACGATTGCCAGTTTACCGCCTGGAGAGGTGAGCTACAGTATTTTTAGGCATATATACCGGTGCCGGCTAATTAATATGGATGGGCGCAGATGGGCTATTTTTAGGGATTTTCTTCAGAGTAGCGTTTGTTTGTTTTACGTGCAGGGTGGGTGCAAATTCGAGGTTGAAGAAATATTTGTCTGAAAACTCCCGCAGGGGCTGTGTTACATAATGCATGCCGCAAGACGTTTTCTGACGACATGAAAATTAATCAGCTCGACATTAGCTCAATCGATAGATGCACTGCAAAAATCTTAGTAATAATGTTGTAATTTACTACAAAAGTAGCAACGGGATTAAGTTAGTGTTCACGGTGTAATAATAATATATATAATCACTAACAAAAATTTTATAAATAAAAGAGGAAGTAACTTTTTGTACGTTCTTGTGGGGAAATTTTGAGTATCGGCAAGATTTTAATTTAATTCTATTAGGAATGAATTACAGAAAGGAGTGGCACGTATCCTAAAATAGCTGCGTAACAGTTATTTTTATTACAATTGTTATTACCGATACACTGCTGTACGATAACAAAATAACACTTGAAAGAAGCGAACCACAATCCAACTGAACTTCCAGCGTAATTAAACGATCAGGACAGCGGAAGCAACCTGGAGTAGTTGCTCATATCGATTGGCATCGTGCATTACCAGTCCGGACACGAAGGTCCCATATTCTACATAAATCACTCGGCGTCTTTTCTCTTGTACATTTATATATATGGGCATGGCAGAGCCGTGGTGTGTGTATAGCTGCGAAAGTGTAATGCCCATCGATCATCACACACCACCGGAACACAAAAGACACCGCGTCCGCGATGATTAATCTCCCACTTTTAACCTCCGCCCGTTGTTTTGACGGTTAACATTTTCCCTTTGCCTCTCCCGCGTCTAGGTCAACCGGCACGCTCGCCAACGCATGTTCGGCTCCTTCGGCTGGGGTCTGGCCATGTTCTGTGTCGGGTTTGTCCTGGACCATTCGGCCATGATCGGCTGGCATCCCTGCGATGTTAATGATAAACACGAACGTAACTACACCTACTGCTTTGCGGCATTCACGACCTTTATGGGGATTGCCACGATAACGGCCTTCCGCTTCAAGCTGAAGGATCTGCCCAGTCAGTTGGGCACCGTGCCGTGGCGGATCGGGTTTCCGGCCATGCAGCAGCAGCCCATGGATACCAAGTATACGTATCCATCCAGTTCGGCGCATCTGCAGGATGACGAGGTAGGTATTAAAGCCGAAAGGTAGCCGGGCTGTTTACGCTAAAGCGGTAACAATTATGTTGTACACTCATCAGTGACGCAATTAAATTTGATAGTTATTTAAGTCTGTTTGCGTATGGGGATAATTTATGTAGCGTCATGCAGAATCTGAGTGGATTAAGAACATATTTTTATTAGTAAAAACCTTCATTTTTAACACCATCGTGCCGGTGTATTTAGCAAGCCTGGCTGCTTCGAGTATTATTAAAATGTACTCGTTCGACATGCAGTGTACCTTAGCTTAATAATAAATTTTTGTAAAGGTAGATAATAAAAACACGTTCTGTACATCGACGATTTAACTTTGCATCTCGTATTAAAATTTTTATGTAAAAGAAAATTTGTTTAACTCAGGGAAGTCATCTTTTGTACATAAATTAAATGTATCTCTACAAAATGTATTTATCTGTATGAATTATGGCCATGAACAGCATCATGACGAAACTCGCTTAGTAATATTTACTACAGAGTACTATAGTGATAAAGCATGAATATATCATCCAAGTGCGCCGAGTAATGTGCAGCGTAGAAGTTATGCTCATCGTAGGGAATGCTGGATGCGCCGATCATAACAACCAGCAACGCGGACGATCTGGACGCCACCATCGATAACAATCCCATGCGCACCGACTACGGCAGTCTACTGCAAGTGTTCCGCACATACGGAAATATCAAGTTTTACGTCATGCTATCCACGGGCTGGTTCATGGGCTTTGGCACGGCATTGACATTCTCCTACCAGTTCTGGCATTTACAAGTATGTTTTCTAGCATGTGCTGAATCTAAACACACTCTCCAATTACCCTCCAAGCACAACTTTTGCGGCTGCACGCGCGCGCGCCCGATTATTTTGGGCCGTTACGCCGGTGATGGATTAATTATCAGGATCCGGTTACACACAGCGCTTATTCCAAGTCACATTAACATTAGCTGAGAAAATCTGCATGATTGCAAATAATTATTGTAATTAAATTGATTTCATCTTGGAATGATTTAATTCTATACATACATATCTCATGTTTTCGCGAAAAGTCTTCCAAGGATTTACTAAATTACTATGCGCGTACTGCACTTAATTACGGCATATGAATTTCTAAGAAAAATATTTTAGGATTACCGGCGTAATTTCTCAGGTTGCTTTTGCAATATTTGATCGTTTTACTAATGAGAAAAAATTTTCGCCGCAATCATTGCAAATTAAATCGAATTTTTAAGCAAGTATCCAAGAAATAAATTTTTAGTTTTATACGAAATCTGTAAGAAATGTTGTATAAAATAAAACCAGAATTAGTCCGTCCCAGCAAGTAAACAACAGCCACGAAGAACACTACTGCTACGTGATTTTTTTGTGTCTGATTGAGTAAACTCCGTCTACCGACATTGATTGAACAGTCGACAATGTTTGTCCATAACAATTTTCCAGCGTTTAAACTGTCGGCGATGGCGATGCCACATTATCTGAAAAGTCAAACCCGTGCAGTGTTGATTCTAGCCGGGCGCGCGCGCTCCCATGACGTCACGCGCTGGGGGTAATTTGTGGCGATTTGGTTAATTTCCTTCCGGTGAATCGGGCAGCGGAATGGCGGCGGGGAATTTGTATTGACTCAACGAGTGGCCTAATGTTAATTTGTCCGTGTATATGTTATACCCGTATGCTTACGTATATACGTGTGTGCTTATCGGCAGGATTTGGGTGGGAAAGCCTCGGTGTTCGGTATCGCATCAATTATCAACCATACTTGCGAGATCCTGAGCTTTTTCGTTACCAGTAAACTAATCCGGCGGATTGGTGTTTATAAAGCCATCTATCTGTCCTTTGCCTTGAAGGGGATCAGATTTCTCTTCCTATCCTGGGTGGACAATCCCTGGTGGGTCATTCCCTTCGCCATAATGCAAGGTACATCACTGCTAACATTTTTTTGCTTTTCGATTTAAGCAGCTTACATTTCTATAAATATTCTTTGGTATAAGCAGAACGGCTGTTTCTCTGTTAATTAAAATGCAAGCTTTGTATAAAAAGGGACACAGTATGCAGTCGTATGTATCTACCGCTTCCCATTTATTATACTTAACTTTCTGAGGGCAAAGAAAGAGGTAGGGAAATCCATAGATGTACGCAATCGTAGTCACTTTTATTATACTGTACAAATATTTTGGAAACATATTCTACGTAGAATTGTGCAGATGTTGTATGCAGAATGGCAAAGGATATAAAAGTACATAATAATTACACGAGCTTGTGTATACTCGCATGTATATATATATTAGTTAGTCCGCTAATTAATGCCAACTTTGTTTGTGATGTTCGCTGTTCCGCCGATTTATGGCGCGCATAAGCATTGTATTTCGTAATTCTATATACTGCTCACATCGTCTGAATCGACAAATTATTCTACTGCTTTTTATAGTTGAAGTAACAGTTTGCTGGTATTGGACGTTAAATTTCACTTTAAAATGTAACGAAAAACCAAACGATGAGCCTGGGAAAATAGTCATCACTGTAACGACGCACATAACCTTTGAGTTGCGGTCTGTTGAGAAGTCAGTGCCATTTCCGGCACCGGTTTTGTCTGACTGCTACAGTCCGGCAATTACAATGGATTAGGCGTGGCTGCAGTTAGGGAGATTAATGGGGAAAGGAGAGAGGATGGTCGTTATCGTATACGCACTGTGATATTTGGACTGTATAAGACGCGACGTGGCTAGAAAATTATTCCCCGCCGCAACGATAGCAGCATCCCCCGTGCAGCACGGTATACCGTAACAAGTGTGTATGTGTTTGTCGTTATATTGTACGAGTACATATTACCGTAATGCCTCTCTCCCTGCCGGTATCGATCGGCAAACCGGGCTCCCAGTTTCGGCAGTGACTGCCGATCAGGACTCCACTGGGACACGTCAGCCTGCATGTTGGCTGCAGTCACCGGAAGCGGGTAGAGTAGCGCCCGCAATGGGCCTGTAGTGGGAGTGTGGCCGAGGCCATCTTAACAGGCCAATCAATTCTCCTTTACGTGTGTGCGCTGTAAACGCTTCAAACAGTTTACATGGCATGGGGCCGGGCCGACGAGGGTGCTGCAGGAATAAGCAGGATGCGGCCGGGTTAAGTAGTAAATGCTTAAGCTTCTAAAGTAAATTGATATCGCTCCATATTTTTCTGCTTCTCAAAGAAGTGCATCTGCATGGATTTTCCTTTCTAACGAATGTATTATATGTACAGATACTGGTAAGGGTATGAGCTATGAGGATCGATTTTAAGTTACAGAGTATTCTGTTGATAAAGAGGAAATTCGTTTTTATGCACACTATACAGTAGATTTCGTTTTTTTGGCGCAGAAGTACAGATCCATATGTGCATTTTTTATCCTCGTTTTTATCCTTTCCCGGGGCTGTCAGCCGTACTGCGCCGTGTATTTCATTTCGTTTAATATAAACAGGATATATGTATTGTATACTGCAGACAGGATATTATATATACAGCTATGTAAAAATGCGTATTATAAGTGTTTTGTTAGAAATTTACCTTCATTACCCAATAACGAAGAAAATGCATTCCAAAGTTCACTTCGTACAGATGTTAACAGTGGTACTACAGGTCTTCAGTACTAGTATTTACTTTGAAAACTGATTATGTACAGAGCAGTAGACTGAATCTTACAATGTTAATTAAGCGTGTGACCTTTATGTAATTGATAAAGCGTCCGTATACAGTTGTTACGTAATCATGGCTATTCTGTTTTAAAATCGTTTCTGCTGTTTCGTTGTGACAAAGGCTTACATCGCACCCCTTTCTCAGGGGAATTCTTTCTGCGTCGGAAACGTGCTCGACAGGCGAATGTCCTGGTGGTGTAGGCGAAAATCGTTCTCCTCAAGATGGCGGTTCTATATAACAGAGGCGCGTCGGCTGTGCGGAGAACGTAGTCAGTTTACTATCGAGCACCACTTGTTCCCCGTTCGTAATCAAGCAACTGATCAAGTGGCGGATTCGTCAGGTGCAGGCTACGAATTGTTTTCTCCCCTTACCGCGGCAGCCGCTGCGGGCACAGCTGACACTTCCGCTCGAATGGGTCTTGTGCGAGACTATAGCTACGGTCTTCCGTAAACAGGAAAACGCTGTCAATTACGTCCGTGCTTGTGCTGATTACTATGCATCGCAAAATTTAGTCCCTTTTTGGACTCGTTAGTTTATCGTATGGTTCTCGTAAAGGTTGTATTGCGAAAATTAAATAACCCTTAATGCAAATCATAATTTCTTTATGGCCGCGGTTTTAATGACTGATTTTAAGCGTTCTATAATGTTGTTGAGGGAGCCATTAATTTTTGTATAATCGTATTCGACTACTACCCAATTATTTTTGCAGGTTTTACCCATGCATTACAATGGATTGCCATCTGCTCATACTTCAGTTTACTGACCATTTCCACACAAGGACTGCAGCCTGCCATGCAGGGTATTCTAGCCATTTGCCAGCATGGGTTTGGCCGTGCTTGCGGCTCGATTTTCGGTGGCTTCTTCATGGAGGCCTATGGTATGTGTGGTCGAGAGATTTTTGTTACTACCGCGTTTGCTGTTGTAGTTCTATAATTTTCTAAAAATGTCATAAAAACATCTCCAGTACGGACAGGTACAACTACAGCTTTTTATATTTGTATACAGCAAATCAACCAAAGATTGTAGCCGATAGTTGTAGCCGATAGTTTTACGCACGTTTTATTTTTGCAAAATAAACCACATGACGGTAGCAGAGGTTTTTCGGGCGCGTGTTTACTTTGCTGTTACGGCCATATTTGATTTACAGGCTCCGGATTGCTCTTCCGCGTGTACGGCATCTTCTGTTTCTTCCTGGGCGGTGGCCTCTTTGGCTTTCTATGGTTCTACGGACGCTACTACGAGCACGGAGGTACTTCAGTGGACAGTGACCAACCCATGCATCTGCTGCAGGAAGGCCCTAACTATCTCAATCCGCACGGCGTCCCCGGCACTTCCGTGTCGCGCTCCCCGTCACCCACGCCCGACCGGATGCGGCAGATGCAGGGCAGCCGGAGCGCGGCCGATGTCCGGACCACCGCACAGCAGCCGGCGCAGGTCACGCTGCACTCCACGGCGTCCTATGGAGCGATGCACTGAGCAGCATCTTCCTCAGATGCAAAAAAATAAAGCAAATCAGGAATAAAAATCTCGGCTTGATCGATGTACGGTCGGTGTTCCTGTCGTGGAGGTTATGGAGTGAAGCAATACCCGGTGTGGCATGAGAGTGGTACTCTGCAGTCTCATGCACTGGACCCGGGTTTTACTTTTATGTTTGAGAAGTATATTTACTTAATAATTAGCGGCAATCTCTTGTGTTGTGGTATGGCGGGGCAGCCATGGAAAAAACGCATTTAGGGTGTTGCATGGTTAATATAGTCGTCTTGTTGACCTTTATGCAGTACAGGTCTGTGAATGCAACCGGTGGTTTAATATACGGTAAACATTGATTTGTGATGCTCTAAATAAAAATCCTGCAAGTAAAAGTGTACTTTGCGACAGTCTGTATCACTCATGTAGAGTAATTAGCATTTAGCACTATCAGCCCGAAGAGCCTAAAATTAAATTTTTGAATAATTGAATTTCTTGACGCAACAGCAAAACTGACTTCAGTGTACAGTATAACAAATTCAGATATCTGCAGCCGAAAATTATGAAACTATTAAAACGGCATTCAAACTGGTTTTGTATTAAAGTTAATTACTCGTACCGAGGCTTCAACAGAACGTTTTGCAAATTCGAAAGACCACGTCGCCACTCGCAACGATCGGACTGGTTTTTCCGCGAGTGCTACTAGTATACTACGAGTACAGAGTGCTTCAACTAATGGTAAAATCACTGTGCATGCAGCTAGCATTCCTAGAATACCTACCTAAAATTGTACGTAGATATTTCAATAAATTATATCTATATTAACATTAACTGAGTGATGCTCGCTGGTGTGAATTTACATATTTATTGCTTATACTCTGTAGTTAGTTAATTGCACTAGGGTGTTACTTACCCGGTATTAGTTATAATTTATTGAAGAAATAATTAGAATCAGTACTTATGTCTACGTACTTTCTCATACCGGTAAATCAATGCTCTAAATATTTACTAATTCATCAGAAATGACAGGGGGTGAGGAAGTGATAGAGAGACGCCTCGCGTGACCCGCCGGGAAAAACCGGCCTAGCGTTCCGATAGCGAGCCAGCCTGGGATGATCGTCAGTTGCCGCTCTCAGTTTCCGGTTGAACCAGCCGCCGTCTAGCTACGCGCAGGGCGGTTGCCGATCTGCCATACTGTGCATCATACAAATCCTGGTTGTTGTTTTGTCAGTGTGCTGCGGCATAAGAGGGATACGGATTACGGACTCTTACGATTTTGTAGTTTTCGTATTTTAAATAACCGTATTTTTAGTTTCCTCTGGTCCTTCCTGTACAGTACGGTCAATACCAAATCCTCTTTGGAAAACATCAGCTTATTGGAGGTTGAAGATTCATAAACCCTTCGACGCGTTGTTAGCGAGATCTTCTGAATACGACATGATTCTGAATAGAGTTTTCATTTCGTCAGCCCAAGGTTGGTTTGCGATGCGCTCACGATTATTGGCAGTTTTCTGTGATTTCGGATGTTTACGATACGTATATGTGGGTCTCCTAAATAGGATGGAGAAACTTCGCAAGTCAGGCAGCTGCTGGGAAAGAATCGTGTAGGATTTATCGGCCTCGGTGAGTCCCGCTTGCGAATTGCGACATGCAAAGCACTCTGTCTACAGTGCTGATCAGGTTCTCTATACACTATACAGTTTTGAGCTTCTTGGTGCAGACCTCTTATGCATCGCTTATCTGCCTGAATTATTCTTTTGCATGCTCTTTCTATGGGATTGCAAAGCTACCCATTACACAGATGGCTGAGCCAGCGAAATGGTGATTGATTGTAATTTGTAATAGGGAATATGGGATCGCACATGGCGCAGAACCTGATCAAGAACGGACATTCGCTGGTGGTGTACGATATTTATCCCGAAGCGGTGGCTCCGTTGGAGGCCGCGGGCGCTCTGGCCGCTCGTTCTCCCCGCCGATGTGGCCGACAACGCGGACCGCATCATCACCATGCTGCCATCCTCGCCACATGTTCACCAAGTATTCAACGCCGATAATGGAATCTTCAAGTAGGCAGGCAGTTTTAGAAGATTTCCTCCCTAGCCCTGGTTTACCAAGTACATATTCTTCCTTTGGAACTTTTGCGAGCTGCTGCTCATACTGCTAAATATAAATTTTCATTTTTAAAGATTATCTTGTTTTCCAGTACGATGCCGATTTCAGTGCGAGTTTTTGAAATTTGAAAGCGTGTAACATTCTTTCAGCTGTATACACCATTGTAAATACATCGCACAACATTTTTCAACTTTAAAGACATACGTATATTTCTAAATGATATGGGTCCCTTCTCGTGCTGACTGGGACAGATTTTCATTTGATCGTATTTTGTATGAGCGAGGCTCGTCTCTGCAAAATTGCAATATTGCAAATAAAGGCTGCATCATTTTTTAAATACACTTTTACGAATGTTTGTGTGGACAAATGCGTTCTCAAGTGTTTTGTTTTGGATAAAGAAATGGGAAGTGATTTATAGGACAGTCCGCAATGGGACGATTCTAATCGACAGCAGCACGATTGATCCCGCTTTGACGAAGGATTTGTCGAGAATCGCCGAGAAGAAGGGAGCTGTATTCGTGGATGCACCGGTTTCTGGAGGTACAAACTACAACCGAGATTGATAGAATAATGTTTTGCATTTGATTATCTGTTAAAACCAAACTTTTTTCAGATCTAGATACTTGCGTTAAAATATACAGTAATGTGTTATCGCGTTTACGTAGCAGCTGATTCTGATTTCACAGTACCAACAATAAGGTACGATGCACAGTTACCTTCAACTGCCCATCACGATTTACGGGCAGTTTTAAGATTTCTCATGCGGACAGTTTCCCTGGTTTGGACTTGAGTTTTGTTGTTTGATATCCTGATGTTGCTTGTGATACTGTAGGAACATTAGAGAAAATTCAAGCATGGGTTTGTTATTCTTCCAGGTGTAACTGGCGCACGTGACCAAACCCTGACCTTCATGGTCGGCTGCGAGGAGTCTTCCTTCGCCAAGGTGAAGTCCCTCCTGGAGCACATGGGCAAGAACATCGTTCACTGTGGTCCGACGGGGATGGGAGAGGCCGCGAAGATCTGCAATAATATGCTGATGGCCATCGGGATGATTGGTGTGTCTGAAGCGATGAATCTGGGATTACGGTAGGTGCTGACGCCAACCGGAAGTGACCACTGGCTGCGGGTAATGCATGGTTTGTGCGGTGTAGGCTAGGTCTGGATCCCAAAGTCTTAGCCGGTATTATTAACACCAGCAGTGGACGGTGTTGGTCCAGTGAGATCTACAATCCGGTGCCGGGTATTAAAGAGGGAACGCCGTCGTGTACAAATTATCAAGGCGGATTTGCCAGCAGTCTTATGGCTAAGGTTAGTGCATTCAGCAGTTTGACGCCTGTTGGTTATATTATATACAAGTATCTATATTTCATAATAAATTTTTTATTTACAGCTTTTGTAAATTGTTGCCTGATATTGTTGCGTTGTATAATACATTGTGCTTACACTTTACTTGGAATGTACAATCAGTCTTATTAGTTTTTATGTTAAAAGTGTTACTCTTAAAAGTTTGTGCGAATTGTGTTAAACAATAAGCACGGTTTCTTTATGAGTAGGTTGTGTACTTGTTAAGAGTGGTAGATTAATTTAAAGGTGTCGTAGAAGTACAAGTGTCGATGTCGAAGTGATTACATCGTAGAAGTGTCGATGTCGGCAATAGTCAAGGTTCTGTTTCTGAGAGTGAAATCTTATAATTTATTATTAATTTAGAATTTGAAACTTGTGTACTGTATATAGATATAAAAATATCGCATTTGCATTTGATGTAATGTAGTACGTTTGTTTGTAGGATTTGGGATTGGCTCAGAGTGCAGCTACTGCGACCATGTCGCCCACACCGCTCGGCAGTTTAGCCCATCAGATCTACCGTCTGATGATGTCCAACGGGATGGGCAATAAAGACTTCTCATCGGTGTACCAGTTTCTCCAGGATGGCCAGGTTCAGGGTGAAAAATCTCCGGCAAAATAAAAACGCTCAGAGAGAGTATGCCTGTTATTAATTCTGATCGGCACATGCAATGCTGACTGTCTTTCCAAACCTTCCGGGAGTGTTATTATATTAAGTCTCTCCGGTTGCAGCGGGGAGTTTTATCTTTTTACTTGTTCCGTGTTTTGTGTTTGGTCCGTGTTTCAGGGAATTGTGGTTGTTCTGGTGGCTATGTGCTGGTAGCGGGAGATTCGTGCACAACGCAAAACGTCGTCGAGCACGTCTGAAACGTTTCCAAGTAAACGGTGCGTTGAATTGGAACCGGGGGTGTGGTTAACGGGTTGTCATTGGCTGCTCATCGGGTGTGTCGAGAATTCGGGTGGATTTATGAGTCGTACGAAGCGTACCGGAACTAATTAGACGTCACGTAATTTTCAGATGTTTTATTAATTTTATTTATGATATTATGTTTTATTTATGTGTTCTGGTTTTATTGCATTTTTAAGGATATGCCGGCATTTTATAAAATTGCCTGGTTAACGTCGAATAAATTTGGGAGATTAATTAATTTTAGTGTTTAATTTTGAAACCTATTTTGTACAAAATTTAAAGTTACGTTTTATTTTACACAAGCTAAAGCTTCCTTTTCTTACAACAAAATTAATATTAACAGATTTCCTCCTCAATAAATTCACGCAGCTTCGCTTAATACTAGAATTTTTACATTAAGTTTGATTTTGAATTAATGCAAATGTATCGGTATGAGCATTTGAATTGAAATCCCGAAAAATCACGTCGGGGCAGTAGTCGCTCGTATATTGATTGCAGTTTAAAGTTGGTTCTACGAGCGTGTGAGGAGGTGACTGACTTCCGGTTTTTAGTCGACAGTCCGTGCGTTCGTAAACTGCATGCGTTTTTCAAATCGCTGGCAGGCGTTCATATTCATGGTGCGGTTCATAAGTCGCACACATGATCATCGGGCAGCTGATTCAAAGTATGGCGAACAGCGAATGCGCATATGCTCTCGTACAATAAATTTTGACCTGTCTTTCACATCTTTGGAAAAATAATCAGATGCGCACAGTTTTACTCTTTATTGATTGCCCAGTGTGCCCGATCTATTGATGGCGCAACAGGGAAATCATCTCACCTGGCCTGGCTACATAAGACATGATTACGTAGTGAAGGAGAAAGGAGCGCAAGCGTTCCATTCCCCGCTGTCTAAACCTTATCAGTGTTGGATACGGAGACTTGACGGGTGCAGCCGCATTTAACAGAGCCCGATTGTGCAAAATCAGTCCACTGTGCTCATTTGACATTTGGCAACCTCAGCAACCAAAAACCTAATTTCTCATGCATTAAATTTCCACTATGAGAGGAGAGCATCCTTCAGTTTTTCCCACCTAATGAATGTAGAATTATCCGTGCAGGATTTGGCCATTTCCGGTTGCGGTAGCGTACCCTTCTTTGGCCTGGGTGGACGGGAGTTTTAATTACCCATAATGTTGGAATAACGTGTATCGACGTGATTTTTGTCTTCTCTCTCCTGTTTCCCGATTCTCCTTCTCTCCTGCCTATCTTCCAGCGAACCCTTGCCCTCTTCTTCCCCTTGGACCCCCGTGGTCAATATCGGCAGTGTGGGTCTCGGTACGACAGGGATTTATCCGTGGCTGCGTATGGTGGGGCGCTGGTGTGTTATATGTGTGAGCAGAGCGACGCGGTTGACAGGGGCGTTGAAGACGCGTACGGGTTGGCTGTGTGTGGTGTGGGGAGAGTTGACAGATGAACGGTCTTAGTTGGGGCCATTCCACCTCATCGGGATTTGGATCGTTTGTCAGTGGTGCTGGTCTTGCTGTCGGGATGAGTAACGTGGGAGCCAAGTCGTCGGCCAGTGCGGCCACGGGGAATGCCAGTGGGACGTTCGGAAACATAAGGATAACGAGTGAGTTCTTCGACCGTGACAGTAAACCTTGCCATTCGATTTCGTGAAAATTGCCTGTTTGTTTGGTAAATTTTTAATTCTTTTCGTAGAACTTTTCCTGACTTTTTTAGAGTTTCGTACAGGGTTTTTGGTATTTTTTAAAAATGCTTTTGGATTCTCGGATGTTTTAATTCATTTCCAAACAGTAATTAGTTATTCTGGTGAATCGTTTAGGATGTTTATAAAGCAGATTTTAAAATAATTAAATGTGGAAATAAATTTCGCGAATGGATTGGGAGTTAATTATTTTATTCGAACTGGTTAATAGAGTGCGTTGCTTGCGTTGCAGCCAAAGATGGTTCAAAAATCCATACTGTGATGGCCACCCGGGGCAAGGCGCTCCCGGGCGGAAATGATCAGGAATATGTGGAGGTGTCCTATTCGGATTTGAAAGTCATTGGCAATGGATCCTTTGGCGTGGTGTATCAGGCCCGTCTGATGGAGACCAACGAGCTGGTGGCCATCAAGAAGGTTCTCCAGGATAAGCGATTCAAAGTAAGGAACCCGTGCTTCTCTTTAGTGCAGATACTTATCGCCTAACAACCTTTGCACATTTCATCAGCCAACCTGTTTCGCATTCACTGACGTTGGCGGGTTCATTCGTAGATGATCTGTGCTTATGTAAATAATCAGGAAGAGTAATTTCTTTGTATAAAATTTCTTGTGTGCGTATTCTGACCGGAAATTTCACGTGCAGTTTGAGCGCGGTTATCAGTCGTTTTCGCTGCAACGGAAACGTGGAGTTATGGAAGAAAAGCGCTGTCTTATCGGTTACTTTCTTTATCGCGATAAGCTGGTCAATATTCTGACCCAGATCGTGTCCACATGGTCCTGCTGAATTTTTGCAGTTTATCGTTGTTGTACGTTGTTGCACCAGATAGCAAAAAAGTAGTGGTTTCGAAATTTCAAATTGGAAACGGTGATTGCACAATCGATGTCATTGATTTCACATTTTTGTCTTTTGCAGAACCGAGAATTACAGATCATGCGCCAGTTGGACCACTGCAATATTGTACAATTGAAGTATTTTTTCTTCTCACAATCGGATAAAGATGAAGTCTACTTGAATTTACTATTGGAATTTATTCCCGAGACGGTCTACCGCGTAGCCCGCCATTATAATAAGCAGAAGCAGCAGATTCCCATCATCTACGTCAAGGTACGCCACGTTTAGTGTCTATTAATAGTCCTATCCGTTCATTAATTCGCAAGTGTTTGGGGTCTTCCTCGAAAAGCTGCTTTCATCGCCCTTTGATTTTGTGGAAATGTCACTGCACTCCGCTGTCGGCCTGTGACTCGAAAATGATTACAGATATATATTCATGAAGGTCGTGTTTGGCCAGTGCGCAGCATATAAATCATGGCAGTTAGTTACAGTTTGTTAGGAGATTGTCTAATGGGCTAGGTCAGGGTTTCCGGTACGCCGAATCAGCGGACCGCAATAATGTCAGTGGTGGGGAGATAATTATGAGTAGCATATTTTGTATGGTTATTGATTTTGGTATTTCGAAAGATACAGTAGCAGAGTTGCGTTACAGAGAAGATAAATTTCTTAATGACGTATTGATTTTGTTGATTATTACTTTGCAGTTGTACATGTATCAGCTGTTCCGCGCACTGGCCTACATCCACAATCTGGGCATTTGCCATCGGGATATCAAGCCGCAGAATCTGCTGCTCGATCCGGAAACTGCCGTTTTGAAATTGTGTGATTTTGGCAGGTCAGTGAAGGTTTTGCACATCTTGATTTATAGCCATATTCCTTGATATTCTATGAATAAACCACAAGGTGTTGGTTGGCGTTTAAAGTCGAATTTATTTCTTGAAATCGTCCGTCAATTTTAAATTTGGAAATTTTTTTAATCGCTTCTCCGATTTTTGTTGAAATAATTACGTAGCACAGTTATTAATATATTTTCGGAAGGTATTACAAGAGGTTTGTGGATGTTCTGACAGCACGTATCGAAGCCGATAAGTTCTTTCTCATGAGCTTGTTCGGTCAAAACGGTGCTAAGAGAATTCCATTTTGGGGAGGCTTTCACTTGGTCACCGAATGCGATCTTCTCATTAGCATGTCGGTATTACCCAGTGAAAGTACAGTCGCTCCACTATTCGCTTAAACATTAACAGATAGCCGTTTTAGTGTCTGTGTTGGGTCGTTAATCGTTATCCGCTGCTGGTGGAAGGACCGCGCATGTGCTGGAAAATGGTTAGCTGCGACCCTAATGACGCAAGTTATGTAATGGGCCTGTGCGCAACAAGTTTAGACTGGTCTCTAATGAAATTCCCGCGTTAGTGCTGCATGCCCCGTGGAGTTCACTGGCAGATGTAAGCGTTGCGAAACTGGTCGGACTGGTTAGGCGGTTTCTTTTGGTAGGCTAGGCGGTAACTTGGAGAAGAGTTTTAAGATGCGCAGTAGCTGAAAGATGCGGAAATTATTGCTGATTGTTATGATGTGGATGTGCGGAGTGATTTATTGACTCTTGAATGATTGAGTGTTTATTGACTTTTTTTAAATACTTGGGATGATTTTAATTGAAGAGGTTTAATTAAATGTGAATGTAGGCGCGATTATAGAAGAAAATCTGTCATTATCGAAATCGATAAAAAATAATCCTAGTTTATTAAATGCTTGTACGTAGCTGATTTGATAATAATACGTACTACTGTAGGCTTTAACATGCGGAATGCGTGCGATTTGGTGTAAATGCTAAAAGTAAAAGTGGCAGTTTTTGTAGCTTAAGTTCCGCCGCTGTTTGGCAGCAGATTTTGTTTATTTTGGCTAAGGAATGTCAGGATTTGCTTTTTATCTGGAAGGATTAGGAAATGCACGATGTTGTCGAACATGTTTAATGATGTAAGGCTGTTCTTCAGTCAGCGTGATGGATTGTTCACAAGTTATACTTCTTCCGTGCAGCAGCAGATAATTTGTTGCTGTGATAAAAATGTCGAAAATCAATTAGCACATGTTTTCGCGGAAGCAGATGTTACTGCATAGAGCAGCTGCGTAAAAGGCACGTGTTGCGTGACGTCGACATGGTGTGTTGTTCTGCTTTACTTTAAAATGTCAGGGTGCGTCCAGCAGACGTGCGGTGCGGTCGCTAAATAACAATAAACTTCCAGGTTACCTCGGCTTCATAAAATTGGTTTCCGTTACGTCAAGTACATAATGTTGAGAAGATACCACTTCATGCTACGATAAGAAAAATTAGAGTTAACATTAAAATCAATCTAAAGGCGGATTTGCCACCTGCTTTGATAATTATAAAATGCAGGCTCTTAAATAAGTAATTAAAGACCTGGTTGGATTTCGGAAGTACGTTGTGCGGAAGTGCCGATGATATAAGAGTGTTTATTTGTTTGCAGCGCCAAGCATCTGGTGCGAGGAGAGCCCAATGTGTCGTACATTTGTTCCCGCTATTACCGGGCCCCGGAGCTGATCTTCGGCGCCAACGACTACATGTGCATGATCGACATATGGTCAGCGGGATGCGTGATGGCCGAGCTGATGCTGGGCCAGCCCATTTTCCCGGGTGATAGCGGTGTGGATCAGTTAGTGGAGATTATCAAGGTGCTGGGCACGCCCAGTCGCGAGCAGATCCGCGAGATGAACCCCAATTATACGGAGTTCAAATTCCCTCAGATCAAGCCTCATCCCTGGAACAAGGTATGTCGCGACTTTAAATGGGATACGAAGATGTCGGCACTGTTCTTGCAGCTTTTGAGAAGCTGGTACTTATAGCTGCTTTTTAAGTAATACCGCTCTGCTTGTACATCACTTTCGCAGTTTGGTGGCAGCTGTCAGTAATGTTCTTGTCAGCAAGGGTTTGGGCTACCTACAGATATACAAGTATCATAATGAAACAAAAACTTATACACTTGCAGTTTTGTGGCTTGTGCACGTTTTGTTTTGGTTCATCCTTCATACTCGTTTTTTTAAAAAAAATATCATACCTTACATTATTTTGAGATCGTTTTTAGCCTTGTTTAGACTAGATGTGTGTAATGCAGCGATGTATAACAGTGTACTCTGTAGAGATCGAGGTATCTTTCCGTTGATTTTGTTGCCACTGGATTCTGTTTAAAGCATATATCGTATTGTAGCTGTTTTTTTGTTTCACAGGTGTTCCGTCCTCGAACACCTTCAGAGGCGTTGGATTTAGTGAGTAAACTGTTGGAGTACACTCCATCCAGTCGACTCTCCCCGCTGCAGGCCTGTGCTCATGCGTTCTTCGATGATATGCGTGATCCCAGCACAATGCTGCCCAACGGTCGGGAACTGCCTCCTTTATTCAACTTTACGGAAGAAGGTAGGATGGTCTCATATATAATCCCGTTAGCAATTATAAATGTCTGCAGTACACGGCCCACAAATATTCCAGGAAAGCGTATACGTACCTGTGTGCTTAATTTTTTATTGTCAATACCGTCACTGTGTATTTTCAAGCAAAACATCAGTATAATGGCAAAATGGTTAGGTCGTCCAACCTTTTTCAAATATTAGCAGCTCTCATGGTCAGCTGCAAACCATGTAATATCCTACGATCTCGTATACAAAATAATGATTACCGATTACACAAATTACTGTTTATGCGTAGCGAGCTTAATGTTGTGGTTTGACTGCATTTGGTGTCGATTACGATGTGAAATCAGTGATTTAATATACGATTTTCGGGTTTTCTGCTGCTCTACTAATTTGCAATCCAGTAATTGTGTAAAATTTCACGATTACTGTCGTTTGACTCATTAACTGTGCAATTGGTACTCGTAGTGTTTTGTATTACAGTATATACTATATGTGTATTAATTATGAACGATTGCTGCACTTTAGACGACAGCGAATATGAAAATACCACAGACTTAAAAGTTTGACAGGTTTTTTCGTGGTAAATTGACGTACTTATCCACTTTGTATTGTAGAGTTCGCAATACAGCCGGACTTGCGTGACAGTCTGGTGCCGCCGCGTCTACGGGAGCATCTCCTTAACCGTTCAGCGTCAGCCAACGCTGGATTCCAGCCCGGTGTACCCAGCCCCGACAGGGTGCGTATAAACGGTACAGTTTCCCTTTTTTCCCTGTGTTTGCGTTTTGTTCTCGGGGTTGTGTCGTGATCCTGTGTTAATTGTGTGCATAAAGTTGATATGGGTTTTCTATGGCATTACAGGGAAAAAATAGCCATCCGGGAAAGAATAAAGATCAAGGCGACGAGGCCAAATGAAGCGCAGAGAAAGAGAGAGGCTAACCAGACACATAACGTGTTTCTTAACCCAGCGTTATTGCTTTAGTTTGTACCGTTTAGATACATACACACAACACACGCGCTCTTTTATTTCAAATCCACATTTGTTTGTGTTTACGAGTCATGATCATTTTCGGGGGAGATGGAGAAAGGTCGACCGTCGTGCGCTCGGCCATGGGCGGTGACGTTTTTGGTTTTCTTCTTTTTTTGATTTCTGTTCTGCATCTCTCTCGTGTGTCTCCGCACATCCGTTGTCACCTGCAGCGCGGAGGAGAGTGTGCGCGTCGATGCGTTCTAAAATTGATTTTGTGTATAAGGAATTTGTTGTTCTGTTGCTGGCGAAGGAGCCACGATATGGGCTGCCGGCGTCAGTGCAGTGTGGTCACCCAAATGAATTGGAGACGTGGAGTTAGTAGTTCTGTTCTCTAATTTGTCTGGGAGTTTTGGTTTTGCTTGGATCAGCGTTGCGGGGATCGCGCCAGTGTTCCCCTGCCGTTTCTCTCTTGGTTTTGTTTTCTGTACAAAAAACCTCTTTGAGAAGAAATTAAACGTGTTGCTCGCACGGGAAACGACTGTGCCAGTAACTGAAATAAGCATACCCACTGGTAATCATTTTTATTATTCATACGAGGTAGCCATCGAGCATTCACGTTCGCATTGGAAATCATGAGAACAAAAGAGTAATAATTATTGCTATGAATGTATGTACGATATCGGGATTGTCATGAATGGCATTAAGTTTTGTTGATAAAAACAGCTTGATTTATTTTACTAATTTGCTTGGACTACACCTAAACGACCAATCGCCGCATTGCGGCTTCACGCCGATCTTGCGGCAACAAACGGCCGCAGCGCCCGGTTCTGGAAAGTGAAAATCAACCGCCATCCCAAACTGACGATTCTCGCCGGGTGGCGCCCTGTGGCGGTTGGGAGCCATGCGCCTAAGGTGCACCGGGAAGTTGTCCCAGGCCCATAGAAACACGTGCTTATCCTGGCACGTTTTAAGCAGCGCGCGTTCGCAAACTATGCTGTTTAATAATTCGACTAGCTAGTAACAAAAAAATTAACAGAAAACCAACCTCTACGAATAGGTAGAAGAATGCATGCTCGATAAAAAAGTGTGGTGTGCATCATGTGCTCTGTAAATTGTTTGGCAATGACGGTGTCCACGGTATTGGAAACGCAACAAGAAGCCAGATAATTCCGCGGCCACAGCCGCCGCCAACTATTGCAGGACGCCTGACGTGCGACCATCTTCGCGTGTTACGTAGCTTATGCTCTTTTCGGTAAACTGCGAAATTCCTGTAGTTAGTGACGTACGTACGAACTACGAAGCAACGTCTATCGCGGCTGCCAATCCGGCGAGAATCGTCAATAGTAAACTGTCGCCTGTAGGCTCGTACATACCCGCTACCCAGAAATGAATATGAGTAGATTACTCTGACTTCGACTATATTTTATTCACTAAATTTTACGGCAGTTTCAATCGACCGCCCAGGGTTATCTATCAATAAGTAGAAATTCTCGATTAATTTGCTGCGCTATTTAGAGTTATTATTGAGTCATTGACGGTGATTGACCATTGACCAATAATAACGTTAGAGCGGAAATTGTAACAACTGATTTACTGTAATATTACTTCGAAATCTTTGCCAAGATTTTATCGTCTAACCGAAATAACCCTCGACCTGACAGAATATATCCCACATTCTGTCCCAAGCGCATATGCGCACGATAAAAGATCGTACTCTCTGAATGGCGACTGCACATGGCGCTACGTTTCTGTTTCTGAAAGGGAATTGGGCGCGTATTCCATTAACTAAATTCATGCAGACCTTGTACTATAAAAAAGATAAATAAGTCGTCAGCAGCGTTTTTCCAGCACATGTACCTCGTGGCTCGTACATACGTGATAACGGATACGCTGTTGGCCGTACTATGGCGATTGATTATGAATAACTTTATCACGGTTGCACCGTACCCTGGAGTACACACGTGAACCTTGTTTCTCGAAATGTGCTTGCCAGAAATAAAAAGTGCTTGGAAAAGAAGCAACTGGGCATTAAAAGGCAGGCGACCCGTGTCGATGTGATCATTATTACATATTCCCACAGTACTCGTGTTTTATTAAACTGCAGTTGAATTTGAGAACTGTACTCTTTAAAATGACTCAATACGACAATGCAGAAGGGATGTCAGACAACGAATGCAAGATTCTGAAAGATAGTATTATCGGTGTACTCATAGGTCTGGTCCTTTTGAACATAGTTATGGCGTGTATAGTAGCTTTTCTGTGGCGACAGGTCAAGAAGCTGCGACGCGAGAATTTGCGTTGTCGCGGTCATGTCCCCCATGAGCAAGATACATCAATAGCTTTGCGTCCACCTCCTCCGCCATATAACGGGTGAGAAACGGAGGTCGTCGGCTACGGTTGCGATTGCGGAATATTCAACAAAAGCGACATATCTGTCACACCGTCAAGATGGGTCAACCTAGCCCAGGACGACAAGCGTATGTTTATCACCATGTTCAACGTGTATGCGGTTGGTGTGGGTTGCATTGTAGCTTGCCATACATCCCGCATAATTTGTATTGTGGTTGTCCTTTCCTTACTTCCACAACAGTCTCTATTTATATATATATATATATATATATATTTTATTTTAAAACACCACAAAAACGTTGGCTGTGTAACGTACAGGAGAGTAAAGTAAATGTCTTTTACCTTATTGTTGCTTCCGATGCACAAGTTATATGGTTTACAAAACTTAGAAAAAAGAATAGATTATGCGTGCCTTTTCGTAATTTGTAATACTTGTACGTATTGCTGCATCACAGCAAGCAGAACTTAATAAACGGAATACTATACTGCTGACATATTACGGATGAACTGCATTAGTAGTATTCTTAATCCTCCAGTAGCCAATTCGCGTGGTCGAATTAATCTAAAATGTGAATGATTCATGGCTCGTGTTAAAAAGTTGAAAAACGCTTAAACGGCTGACAGAACACAATTATTAAGGTCAAGCAGTTTCGCTCTACAGTATTGTACGACATTGCCGCTCTACAATAGTGCAGTACTGTCTCCACTCATGTAGAGCGGCAGTGGTACGACACTAACGACGGTATCAGACTACCAGTACACAGACTTACGGAAGAAAAAATTCAAAGATTTTTCGTTTACTGGTCTTCTGAATATACTTCTGAGTTCTGAATATACTGAAGTATATGTACAATACTTAGCGAGTAAAGCTCATTTTCGGCATAATTATTGAATAGATTACTGCAAGTTTTATGTCAAGTACTTACTTGTTATTGACAGTACAACAAAATTTAATAACTAATCTATCTAATTTAATAACTGATTCTGCAACTGCGAGTGCACTTTTCCAGTTATTAATATTGTTGCGGTGCTAATGCTGCTTATACTCGTCCATATAATATCTGTACTTGGTAATATGGGTTTTGGTGATAAACCTTGGCCGTAATAATTAATTGCTGTGCACTGAGTGCACATTTGATTCTATCACTACAGACTATCAGTACACAGTACACGTCACTACATAATACGTATTACGTACTAACTGCGTTTTTATTTCCAAACTTCACTTGTACAGTACACATTTTAAGAACATATAAAGAAAAAACGGTTCAATAAACATTTCTGCTCTCTCAACGGTACCCATAAGGCCATAACAGAAGCGGCGTTACCAATACCGGCTGTATATTTTAGACCTTAGAGACAGTCGCTGTCGATGAAGAAATTCGTGTCGATGAAGAAATTCGTGTGAGCGGGCTTCTCCTGAATGAGTCCGTACTCGTAAACGCTTTCCCAGTTCTTTTATAATGGCGATGGCCGTGCATTGCAAACTGTATTAATCCATAAACAATAATTAGCTTAACAAGTATCAATAACCAATCAGTATCAACAACCTGTCAAGCACTACCAGTAATTACGTAATTACCGACATCCCGTTAATGGAATGCCGACAGACGGCCGAAGCAGTTGGAAAAGCTGTACAGTATTTGTACGAGTACTTACAATTAATAATTGAGGTTAATAAGTACAGTAATAATACAGCAGCGGAAATAATATTACATATTACGAAACGAGGGAAAGAACAGTTCGCAGTCGCAGAGAGCACTTACTAGAAAGTAGAAGCCAACTGTGTTTACGGTGTACATACCGGTATTTTGATTTCGAAAATGGCGGAAGTACACAAGTACTTCAGGCATTTTCGAAAGTGAGTAAACCGGCCGTCGTCCAGTTTACTCACTTTCGGAGCAGGTAAGCGCATCATGATCAGTGACCTTGCCTCTATCTAACGCGTCATTCTGACAGTATTTGCAGAAGTACAAAGTTACAAGTACATAGAACAATATTCTGCACAAAGAAAGCAGCAAATACGTCAGAATGACGCGTGAGATAGAGGCAAGGTCACTGATCATGATGGGCTTACCTGCTCCGAAAGTGAGTAAAACTCACTAAACTGGACGACGAACCGATCCTATCTTATTCAAGAAGCTGCAAGCAAATCGGACGGCCGTCTGATAAACATACATGTCTCCAATTACAGTATGTAATAAAATTCGCAAGGTTCTGCTTGGTTTGCAATATTTCTCTTTGATTCTATCAGAACAATGTTTCTGTCTTTTACTAGCCTCATAAATTGCCGATCTATACCAAGAATTGTTCATGCATAAGGATATAGATAATATATTTTGCAATAGCCAGTCCACATAACCATAAGCTGGTAGAATTTTAAAAAAATGATTGAAAACTAAACAGTATATAAATACAGACTCCTTAGGGGTAAACGTGCACTTCAATCACCCCAATGTTAGGGGACCAGTTTTCAGGAGCAAACATGTACTTATTAATTAACACACTAATTACTCTACTGTACAAGCCCAAATGTGTCACGACTTGAAAATGGCGGCAATATCTTTAATATTACCTGCAATACCTGCCACTGAGGGCGCACAAAACCAAGTAATGTTGTCAACAGGACAAAACAGACACACTGCCATAATTGCCATGCTAGACAAGACGACTCGGAGAGGGCACAACTCACAAGAGCAGCACATTCTCGGACACGCAGCCGCCACACTACGCCACAATAATTATGTACGGATTCGGCTCGATTCTGACATCATTCGAAACTTCCAGTCGTGGTTGCTTAGAGAGCGTGAGAGCCCACATTGTAAAGGTACTTATATGTTTATTATACGTACTGCAATTTCCATACATACCTCACCGACTTGTCAGGTGTGAAAATACATATTATTGTTTTTTTTTTAAAAATACGATACCATATAAAAATGTAAATTTTGCTGCCCGTGAGCCACGGTGTCTGCGTAGACGATGGCTAGCTTGATAGGCCTATGGTCAACATGCAGGTTATTAATGCTGCTGCAGCTGTGCTTGTCTGCAGGCTGCCCGTCACAACCTCAGCGGCCGTCAGTCAACTCGGAGTACCATGATTGTGAGCAACATTTATTTCGTACCCATTCAGCCTGTATCTGCACAGCTCTCGCTGTGGTATGACGGTATAACGGTATAGTGCAATGTTATGGGTGTGACCGTGTAGGCGTTATATCAAAATGGCAGTCGATACGTACTGTAAGTTTGTAACTACTAACTACCTAACATATGTACAATAAGCTAGCTAAGAAAACTTTTGGCTGTGTGTACCGCCGATCTCAATTAAAAACCACACCGGTAAGAGAGGGCTGGTATACCGTAAAAGCTGGTTATTTTCATATTAAACTAGCGGCTCAACGTAATCTTTCAAGGTAGCTTTGATAACAGTTATCATGCGTTATGCGAGCATCACTACCAGGGTCCAGACTACCCTATCATAATAATTTACCAATACGGTTGTCATACTGCCATCCTGAGGTGACCTCTGAAGTAACTAACTGACTTCAGCTTATTAGTGGACGACATGCTGGCGGAGGCGTGGCTAAACAATCGGCAGGACGACCGCATCATTTTGACACAGCTCACCCCGAGCGATTTCGTTATGGACAGCGTGGTGTACCGGCCGCGATTGGGGACTACTGTGACGTTCCAGTGCGAAGTGCCGGCTGGCAGCGACGGGCGCGATGTGTCCTGGCTGCACCAGGATCGGACCGTCTACGAAGCCGGTCAGCCCTGCCCGTTACCAGTGGACGACACCACGGGACAGTTATACAACTTCGCCCGCGTCAATAACACCCTCGTCTTCCAGGTCCTCAATGTCAGCCTGGTCTCCGGCGGCTCCGTGCAGTGCATCGCCGCCCCCTCGGGCCCCTCCTACACGTCGCGGCCCCGGGTTCTGCAGCGCTTCGCTCTGCTGCCGCTGATCACGCGGCGCGATGACGTCTTCGTCGCAAACAACCAGACCGCCGTCCTGACCGCCACGGAGGGCGATCACGTGGCGGTGCCGTGCAGAATTCGGCTGCCCCTTCCGGGCGGAATTTTTCGCAATCTGCGCAATCACATCATCTGGCGCCGCAACGGCCGCGTCGTCCACGGCCCCTCGGAGGCGCCATACGGATCTCTGATAGCCGCCTCCGGCATTCCCCAAGCCACTGCGACTCCCGACAGACAGCCCACCAACCGGCCCGGTCAGATGACAGACGATGCATACAACTTCCGGCACGTCAAACTGACCGCTGCTGGCGAAGTGCAGTGCTTATTCCGACCGCACCAGGGTATACATGAGTGGATTGCGCAGACGACGACGCTGACCGTGTTGGCCAAGAACTAATATAATAACGCGCAGTGTGCGGCCGTGTTCATTTCCGTAACATTAACTAACATAAGCTGGTCAGCGGCCACTATTCTGGGCCCTGGCCAAGTACTTGTGGGACTGGTTTATTATTGCTTTTTCACACGGACAGTTACGCATGCGCATTGTAAATTTTACTCTATAACCCGGCTAGGTACTGGCTGTGGAACGTGTTCAATATAATTCATTTACTATGATACGAGATATAATGAATTAGAAACACTGCCGATGTTCAGTAAATCCGGTCAACTGGACAATAAAAGCAGACTCGCACATATAGTCGTTACTCGTTAGTCTAGATGGCTAAATCGAATTATCGTTTAATATCTTTTTTAACGCACGCAAATTTTCACAAATTTAAAACCAAAAACAATAGAGACGCGCGCACGAGAGAGAAAAAGAGCACAATATGCCATAATTTAAATAAGGGAAACATTCCGTACTCGAGGGGAAAAACCAACAAGACGACGTCTTCCATCCGAACTCCTTTACATACCATAATTATAATCCGGTACTTACAAAAAATCCGGTCTGCATACAAAGTATAACAGTATAGTTAAAAAATATCAACGCATGAAAACTGCCCAGTCAGAACGTGTGTGTTTGTGAGAGAAACAGAGGCAACAACAACCAGCGTCTTTGGATTCCCATTTCCGGTCAACAAACGATATAAACAAACTCCACCCCGCCCCGCTCCCACCCCCTTCACGAGGCCACCTCCGGCGGTGTTTCCCTCCTGGAATGCTCCTCCGCCGTCCCGTTGCTCTCCCCGCTTACGGCGACGGGAAGTTCTTCCTCGTCCTCATCCGGATAGTCCACCAGGGAGGGGCTGGCGGGTTTCAGGCTGGGATTGAGAGGTGATAGGCGCGGCGGAGGGGAAGGGGAGGGGGAAACGCGTTTCGGGGGTGTATCGCTGTTGGTGTTGTTGTTGATGGTGTCGTGTTGCCACGCGGAGGACGTGCTGACGTGGTTCTCCGGGGAGGAAGTCAGCAGGCCGTTCGTGTAGGTGTCGGTGAAAGGAGGGGTGTTCAGTTGGCGAGTAGAGTCCGCGGAGGCCAGGGAGACCTTGAAGGAGGGAGAAGGAGATCGGACTGCGACTTTCCGAGGGGAACCGCGGTTGGCGGTGGATTTCCACGCGCCGCCGGTGAATGTACTGTCATCATCGTCGTCACCGTCATCCTGTCGATCAAACGCAGTCAGTTTTACTATACTGGCACAACAAGTTATCAAAAATAATTTCGAAATTAATCGGCAATGGTTCAACTCTTACAATGCAAATTAAAATCGCTGGAGGCAAACTCAACACCAAATACGACCCAATTAAAAGAAACTCATAATTATTATCTCTAAAGACTAAATACGCAAAAGAAGGTTAGGAAATGCATACAAATTTGCATTTAACGGAGCTGTGCCCGTATGCTACAAAGTACAAAGTGCTCGTATGCACAACACACCTAATACTGTAAAGTGTAAACTGCAGATACCGGTACTTGTGGAGTTGTGGTAATAATAAAGATCAAAGCACCAGTACAAAAAGAACTATTTAGTAGTAATTACAATAATGAATTCACCACACTCCCGATAATACGATATCTTAACGTTCTATAAATTCTATAAATCTTAACGTTCTATAAATTCTTAATCAAAATGATTAAACCTTTATTATATAAACACAGAAAAACGTTACCGCTAAGCACAGCGAGTAGTGGTAAAAAGACAGTAACAGTAAACACAAAAAAATCTGACGAACGAAAACATAATTTGCGCAGTATTCACAGGCGGTTAACTTACCGGGTTGGGCCTTTTAACCGGCGGCGCCGTGTTAATGCCGAGCAGACTCTTCATACTGGTCAGCGCAGTCAACTTCTCGCCGTCCTCCCCTTCGGGCGCGGACTCCATCTCCACATCCCCGCTGCCACTGGCGGCCGGCGTTTCCGCTTCATCATTCTCAAACCACTGCTCCTCATCCTGATCCAGATCGCGTTCATCCCGCCGGAACCGCTTGGCATTGCCCGCCCCGCTGAGAGCGTTCATGCGCGACATCAGCGCCTTGCCGATGCCAGATTCGGCCACTTCGGGCGTGGCGGGTCGGTCGACCAGCGACGTCCGAATGGGTTCGGGTGAGGGGTTGGTGTGGATGCCGTACCGGACGTGGAGGGAGTTGAAGGTCTGCGTGAAGCTGATCGGCTGCAGAAGCTCCCAGTAGCGTCCGATAATGTAAATTATTAGCCGTTTGACATCCTCCTGTCGGATGAATTCAAAAAGCTCCAGGATGGAGGAGTTGAGGAGGTTGTAACGGCGCCCGTTACGGAGGAAGGTATCCAACACCGGCTTCAACAGGTCGCCGCGTTCAATGTAGCGATTATAAAAATCATCATTTAACCCTGCCAAATACAAAAAATGCATCCATTACAAACACTTCCTATCAAAGATATTAGGATGGACCGTAAAGTAATAAGCGATCTGCCTAACATAGCACATAATTATTAGTAACATGGCCAGCAAACAAAGAGTGATTTCGCCAGAATTACCCATGCAAAAATTAATTACAACGGTACAAGTAGTAACATTAATGGTCAGAATGTAGTGCAGTTGTTTCAAGCCGCAAAATTAACCATTTATCAGAAATTTCAACATTTACACAAAATGAATTCGACTGTGAATATAAGTTTTTACCAAAACAGAACCGTTTTTTATCTCAAGATTTGACAGCAAGTGATTTTGACTAGGTTAAGAATTTTTTACTGGCTATGATTCTGCAGACAAGGAACATCCTTCTGATTTGATTACGTTTAACAACTTACAGTATCCTGAAGTAAATACACTAAGTAATCGTACGGAGACTTTGTTTCCGTGAGCCTTACCGACAATCTTCCGTAGAAACCTTATGACAGCGACGACAAGGAACTGATGAGACGACTGCAATAAGACCAGTACACTCTTCAAAACGTCCCGTCCTATGATGAAGTTCTTGATGTGAAAGGTATGGTGTTCCACACAATAATTGAGAAATTCCAGGATCAAATTGAGGATATGCACCGTGCGAATATCTTCCCGCTTCGGCAGGCTACCGGAGGCAGTTATGGCACTGATCGGTTCAAATAAATACTGAATGCAACGCTTGTAGAAGAAGCTTAAAAATTCTGTTTTCTCCGTCTTGTTCGGCGAGTTAAGCATGTTCTCCGGATCCAAAAGTAACCGCATTATGGTTAATATCTACAAGCACGAAGAACAATGTCATAAAAATTTACCATTTCGAAAATCAGTTCACTGACAAATGGACGCACAGGGCACATATTTAATGAGACTCAAGCCGAAGAAACGTAATTACCACCGCACTACGTCAATCCTATTCGACCGACTCACACCTTATGGTTATGTGATAAGTGTAAACAGAAGCTGCGATTACTTAGAGAAAAATCGAACATCACGCCAATGTTTTCCAAAAAAGCGATGAAAGTACCTGCATAGCACCGGACGCCTGAGGATCAGGATCGGCGACTACCGCTTGACGGATGATGTGAACAAAGAACAAATTCCTATCGTTGGCTTCCTTCGCGGCCTGCGTCATGCAGAATTCCCTTACAACAAATGGATGCATCTCCACAATATACGTAAACACATCGACGGTGGCCGAACGTGTTTTCTGATCATCCACGTCCAGCGCTCCCTGTATTGCCTGCACACAACAAATTTCTTACCAACCTTTGAATGGTTCTTGTATGTATTCTTTAACAGAATCTGAACAAAAAACCATCCTTTTTAGCGTATTTCCGCTTTAAAATTAACCACTTTCACCATATTCCCACTTCAAAATTAACAAAACCGTTCTCAAAAACAAAACAAATCGGATTTGAGCGAAATCAGGTCGCTTAAATCGCTGCACTGCGGAAAAATTTAATCGTATCCGCAAACTACTGGTATTTAAGCGCAAAATTTTCATTTAGTCTACAGACTAAAAACTACGCACATAATTCACTATGGAGAATAATACGGAATTTCTACGGTGTATATTTCTATATTAATGAACTAGTTATGTTTATACACAAATGTAGCTAAATATTTATTGTAGTTCCAGGTTAAACATTTACTAGAGAACAATTTATCAGCAATAACAAACAGTCAGACCACTGAAATACGCACCTGTAGTATTCCATGATTCATTAACAATCGAAAAAAGGCTTCTCTCTGCATAGCCTGCAGCGTCTGGCTAAACTGGCAGAATTCCTTAAGGAACAATATGGCATCGCGGCGTTTGGGCACGGGCGTCTCACTGGAGCACAACTGAGCAAACAACTGCTTCAGGAACCGCTCGTCCTCCTGCAGCAGATTGACAATCTCCATCTTATTGAAGAAGATGAAGGACTGAAGGGTGTTGAGATTGTTCTCATCGAAGAGTGTCGGTGAGGGGAGTATCACGTCCTGAATGTACTGGACGCGGTACATTTGCTGGATTTTTGCGTACAGCTCCGGATTTTCCAGCGGGATGACTTCTTTGAACTTGGCAATATCCCGGATGTAGTGCCGGTGGCGCCGAGGATTGGCGCCGGTGGGGTCCCACTCCAGGCAGCCCAGCACGTCTTCGATGCATTCATCGCTAAACAGCACTTCGTATAGGGCGTTGCGGTTCAGCATGAGGATGCTCTTCATTATCGAGAAGAGCTGCTGTAAACCTTCTGCAAAATAACAAAAGAACCCGTTATCCAATAATATATGTGTCCCAACGCAACATTTCCCGCTACTACGCTACTACGTACTTAGTAAATACAGTGTTTACTGTTTACATGTCGAACGATTGCTGACACTAGACACAATGCATTTCTAAGAAGTCACAAAAATCATCGTGTTAATTGCAGAATTAAACGGCGGCTATTCAATAAAAAAATACAAAAACCTGCTTCTGGAGCACACAAGAACCGTAAAAAACAAAAAAAAAATGACTGGCACTGACTTTGAAAACCAACAACTGGCAACAAGTAATAAGTCACTGCAAGTGGCATTCGGCCAAGAAAATCTGAATTTTATCTAAAGACATATTTATGGGCAAACCATAATTATGGAAAAATATGTTATTATCGGAGGCTATGCGTAAAGGAAGCGATAATTCCTACTCGTACTCTAGAGTAGTGTTTTACATTCTTAAATTTTACATTAATTATTTGCTCGTCTGCTGATATTAATACCGCAGTAAACGCCCATGGGGTCTACTCTGAGTTTTGTAATCGTAAATGGCATACAGGAGAAATTATGGTACGCATATTATAGTATGTGTTAATATTCTAAACAAGCGGAAAATTTCCTGGCCGACCCTTGAGAAAACCCTGGCCAACCGCCAAAAACCTCCGCCATGGCACCTGAGGTCAAGACTACGGCGAGTCAGCATTCATTCAGCAACACGTCAGTCAGTGCCCCGGTGATCAACGCGTTACAGTTGTAGTATTTTTAGGAGCCGACGGAGCGCCTACTCATACGGAAAAGTAGGCCAACGTGCCCGCGACCATCTATCACTTTGCAAAGGAAATTTCTAAGCTCACATGACGTCACTGCCGCATATTTGTAGTCAGTGGGAGCTATGATATGAAAACACACAATTACGCGCGGCTACACAGTGGCGTTTGTCGATAAAATGTTTGGGCTGCAACACAGACTTATCGTGTGTTGTTGTGTGGCACGACAAGCGACCCAGCTCCGACTGGGCTGACTAATCGATAAATTTAATCCATTCAAAATTGATTAGCCGTAGCGAACCAAGTGGCTTGATGTGAACGCCTATCATGATGCTGTTTCATCGTGAAATCATCGTCTCCAAACAAGTTCGGATACGTTTTCGCTTGTAAACATCAAACACTAAACAACAACATCGCCCCAGACACACACCCAAATCAAAAATTTCCTCTACTACTCAGATAACATCTTACAAGTAAAAAACTAATTGTCGTATTCAGAAAATAATCTAGTTTCCGTCAAAAATTCACAATAATCACGACCCAACAAAACTGTTAATTTTCCCACGTAAAATTCTGTTTTCATCCGACCCTAAATATCGTAATTCGCATATTAAACCAATTTGATTAAAGGCTAAAACCTAAAATACGAGTGCAGCAAATAATAAAACTACGCCGCAGAAGACAAAACCTGGGAAACATGACTGATTAATTACTATCAGGAGAGGGACTTTACACTTGTATGGGTTTCGTTTCTTGGAAAATAGTGCCGCAGATAAAATAGGACAATCTAGGTGAGTAAGCGAGAAGACCGTCGTGCTCTTACACAACAAAGCGTGAAAACGCGCAACAAGAGGCTCGTTATGTGATCACTGATCCGACTGTTGGTAATCCGACATGCTTATTACATAATCATCACAAAGATGCGAAAAACTCTGATAATGAGCGTCGTACCGCAGAAAGCCCGTCTATTACCCTGCCACAATCCAAACACGACGTAAACGGATGGGCATGTGACGAGCAATGGCGTAGAAACGGAGAAAAAAACTGTCGTGCTAAGCAGTATGCAGCCATCGTGGTAGACTCGTAGTACGACAAACTTGCCCGATTAGCGATGGCAGATATTTCTCACCGTATCGGTGACCAGGAACCACAAGATAAACGTGCATCTGAATAATTTGGCTCTTAAATCAGCGCAAAATCACACACGGAAAGTAAAAGTCCTACGCGTCAAAATATCTACGGAAACGGGAAGTTAAAACATTTGAAAGCATCTTGTGCAGGACTTCAAATTTTCAACACGGATAAGGGGAAACAAAAATTCACACTCAGACTAAACTGATTTCAAACTTTAATGAAAAACTGAACACACGATCGGGATCGCCGTTTCAAAAAGTGTTTAAACAGAAAAGATCCCAACCAGACCTTCCTCGAGAACAAGAAAAATTTAAGGCTCAAAAGGAGCCTCTCACTAGTTTTGCGAAAAACGACTACGTTATCACAAAGGCAGAAAACAGTGCAACAAGAAACTGAAAAAGGGACCATCAGAAAGAATACAGTTTTCCTGTGGAAAATTTCATAGCATTTAAGTCTTGAAACGATGAGTCTTAGACAGGAAAGCTTAAAACAGGCACAACCGTACAACCTCAAAATTTAAAAGCTCTCACTGCTATTTCAGCAATTCTGACGCAAACAAGTATTTAAAACACGAGAAAGTCAGTATAAGCCTTACCTGTGTACTCCATATCCTCGCACTTTTTAAACAACTCCAGCAACTTCTTGATGTAGTCCTCCTGCTCGATGGCCGTGGCCAGTTTGTCCCGCTGATGCGGATGGCCCATACAGCCCTGGACCACTTCACCGATCTTCTCCAGTTTGCCCATCTCACAGCCAGGCAGCAGGGGTCCGGCCATGCTGCTGCCCTGCCCCGCAGGCCCCCCGCCCGCCACCCCCTCGCCCCCGGCGGCCCCATAGCCCCCCAGGGAACTACCCACCTCCTCCTCGTCGTCCTCGTCCAGATTGTCCTGCGTCACTTCCACACTGGGATCTTTGCCCTGCACCTGGCAGATCTTAGCCCAGACTTCCTCGCAGCCAGCTTTCTCCTGGAAACTCAAGGCCATATCAGCGTCGTTCTCCGACCAGACGATCAGTGTCTCCTGCTGCTTCTGATAGCTGGTCTCCATGTCGATCTTGGATTCCAGCAGGACGGCGGCGGACTGCTCATCGCGCACGATGAGCGACATCCCAATGAGACGCTCCGAGTAGATGGCCGAGACATGTCCGGTTCCACGGTCGTCCCAGTGACGCGAAGCGTTGAGCACGTACAGCTTGACACGACGGCGATTCTCCGGGTTCTTTTCCATGCTTTACATGGAGATAATGAGGATTAAGTGGCTGGGCATCCACGGGGAGACAATGGGAAGGTTTTCAATGGATATATTATTACGATGTAAACAAATCGCGATGACGGATCTCTTTTCAATGAATTACAATTTCTACAAACGGGGTTCTTTGCTAGCGATGTGATACTTGCTCACTGGTATAACGAGCGATGTGTGTACGGAGTGCACGAGCGCGTTTCAAATTGAATAAACAACGACATCACAACCAGTTTATCCGTGCAGTCACTAGTCAGCGCGTAGGCGGGGCCATGCTTCCAAATGAATGAAAGTGAGCGCCAGTCGGCATTGCGAACAGCGTTAGTGGGTTGACTGCGGCCCGGTGGTTGGTCGCAACCCCCGCGTATGCTCGGCTCACTACTCATATTTTTTACAGCTGGGTGTTTTTATTTTTACTATTTTGGTGATTTGCTACTTGCGATTAGGAAAAATGTTTTTTTTATGATAAATTCTGTGACATAAAATTTAAGCTAAATTAAATTACTGAAAAATAGATTGCGCTTTTGTTAATAGTAATGGTAATAATATTGTAGAAAATGAATAAGATGTGAAAATACGATTTTTAAGTAGTTGACTTGTACGAGTGCAGAAGCCATAGAGACACTCTTTGCTCCGTCCCACCGCCCTCGGTAGTCGGCACATAGCGATGCACGGTTAGCATAAGGGTTCTAAAATTTATGATACATCGACGTTCGACTCGCTACGCTTGAAAGTGTGTACAGTACTATATCCAGATGGCGCCGCCATAGGCTGCAGGGCAGATCCATTAAACAGCGAGCGCTCGTTGTCCGCTCTCACGAACGGCCGTCGCTGAGGTTGAAAAATCTGGTTCACAGCTGTATTAAAAATTGGAATGACAGATCGTTTAAACGCATTGAATTGATACGGGTTCTGTGTCCGGTGCGTGTAAATGCCGTATTTGAAATCCATCAGCATTTTGTTGCCGAAGGTTGATGCGTCCACTTGGATGGCGTATTGTTGTCGGTTGCCAACTTGCCAGAGTATTTCCCTGTGGATGCCCGTTGAATCTTTTCAGACGCGCAAACTGGAACAACTTGCAAATAACGCCGGAAAATGCATCGTGATTGTTGTATTGTGTCTCGTGTCCTGCATTGTCCGCTCCGCCTCCTGTTGATTTATAGTGCACAGTTGGTGGAGTAAAACAAACAACGGCAGAGCAGGGTGACTCGTGCAGTCTTACGATAGACAGCTTTCGCGCAGCAGTTTTTGTTGGACGTTTTTTCCGTCTGATTTGTTGGTGTGTGAAACATGACAGTTGTAAAATGCGTGAGCTTCGGATTTTAGAATGACCACCAGTGTGATGACTGCTGCAGCCAGATTTTTCCTTTCTTAATTTTTATTTATCACGCACAATGAATTCCAAAGCTGCGGGGATTAATGGGGGACCAGCCAGTTTTGCTCAGAGCAACGGACCAAAGAGTGTGAATTCCCTGGCCATCCGACAAGAGATTCAGCGCTTCGAGAGCGTCCATCCTAATATTTACACTGTTTACGATCTAGTCGATCTTATCCCCGATCCGGTACTGGCACAACAAATTCGCGAGCACGTTGTTTGCATTGAAGGTAAGTGAAAAATGTGACAAAGATAAACAGTTTGTTGGAGCGGTTTGAATTTGATTGAAATTTTGGCTGGAAGGCAGCTGGGCGCTTGTGATATCGCTTATTGAATCTTTGACTTGTTAGCGATCTCTGAAGTATGTAATAATTTTAAAATCTTAAAAATCAGGTTTTTTGATAGCTGATTGTGAGGTTGTAGTGAATGAAGCATGACCAAACGTCAGAATGTTAATGACAGATTCGAACTACTAATCACAGTCGGTGCTAATTAGAGCCCTGTCAGTGGCTTCGAGATAAGTCGAATGTTATTGTTGTGCTACGGGGAAATATGGTGCAGCGTTGCGGTTTAATTGGCCCAATCTGTCGTTGATCTTGACTTGCGTGGGTAAATTATGCGATAATGGGGGCTGTTTGTCGATGCTTATCGTTTTGCTTTACTGTGTGATAATCTCCATAAATTGTTCTAGTACAGTAGCTTTAAATTCTTCTTTAGCTGGTAAGCTAAAGCTTTAAATTCTTCTTCAGCTTCTTTAGCATTTATGATCAACCGTTGATTTTTAAGTCACTAAACGGGAAAAGTATAAAAAATACTGTTCAAAATTCTCTTTATGCTGCCTTCCCTTTTTTTGCGCACAAAAATGTCAAAATGGCTGTGTGTTACAGTAAACTCGTTACCATACTCCCAAAATTCTGAAATTATTGCTCGTTGTAAATAGGAAAGAGATTATAATTTGAGCAGAAATGTAAGACTGAGCTTAACTCATAACTGTGCTCTCTTGTGTGAAAATAATAAAGGGTTTGGTGTTTTATTTGACTCAATAGCAAGTACAAAGCACTCGATATTTTAAGTGTTCCGTTTATTATGTAAACATAATCATGAATCGCTTTAGAACTGAAGCATTGTGAAAGCGTTTATCCGCTCTGATTCTCAACAGACGAAAAATGCAGGTTTCAGGTGAAAAGACCGATAAAAAATGCTGTTTGAAACGTGCCGATTGGGAAATCTGTTTGCTGACGGTGAAGTTGTAAATGTTCGCTTACGCGTGAAAGATAGAGGCTGGGAAAATGTTTTCTGCTGATTTATTCAGATACCGAATTGCAGGAAAATACAGTGCAGCAGGCAAGAGAATTTGATAGTACCGTATTTCTGAAACGTTGTTTTATTGTTAATTTAAAACGTTATTTTTGTCTCATCGACCGTTGCTGTAGAGAAGTCGCTCATTTTCGCTGTATTTCCTTGTTGAAAAGTCCTTGGAAATTGTTGTGGTGAATGGCTCCCCTTTGCTTGCTTGATTGCTGGATATTTTGCGCACTTGTTTGGCATAATTGTTTCCAAGTGTGTATTGAACGGAAATGAAGGTCATTTTTCTGCCTCTCCACGGTTACAAAGTTACTGTGTTTTCAATTGCTAAATTATTGTCCATTGTTGATAAAAGTGTCTGGCATGTTTGGATAAAAGACCGTCGGAGATCGTAAACGGAGGCGTTTTACGATGCATTGCTTATCTGTGCGTTGGCTTTATGGCCGAGTTTTTATTTCGGAACGTGTTTATTATGTAAAAGTTGCGGTACATAGCAAAAAAATATAGACATAAAAGTGACCATTAATGGCCCATCATTGGCGAAGCAGCGAGGGAATTTTTATAATCTGAGAGTTATGCATTAATTTTATTATGTTGTTCCGCACTAACAATAAGATGCGGCGTGAAATAAATTATGCAATAATTTACGATTTTCTCGTATTATTTGCTTATTTTGTAAGTAATGCAGGGTGATTTTTATTAGCTTTAATAAATCTTGGTATTTGCGTAAATCGTGTGCATCAGGATTATACGTGGATGTGGCTTTTTGGCAGAAAATTTCTCTAGGGATTCGCAAATAGCTGTTATAAAGCGGCGTGATTTTAGGCCGACCGGTCCATTAGGTTTACTGCGGTATAAATCGCTTTAATGCGGGTAATGTTGGGGAAATGAGATCTTTGTGGAAAAACGTCAGTCATTACCATTAAAATTGCAACGTTGTTTCCATGTTTTTCTGCTTGGATCAACGGATTTACTCTTCGAATAGCCGACCAGAGCCGTCATCGATTATTTGTACTTTATCATTTTGAATTTTCGTTTTTGGATAGTTAACGTTGTTTGTCCGATTAGATGCACAAAACTGGGTTTAGCTCGTTTTACGTTTTGGATAAGGATACGGCAGATTACGTATTTCTGATAGGTTTTTGGCTCGAATTTTTCCAGCCGATATGGAAATAAGAACGGTTAAACCATTAAATGATACAGAGTTCTCTAGATTCTTAATTAATATTAGCTGTACAGTGTACAGTTAAAATTAAAAATGTGAGGTTTTGCAATGTTGCAAATTAATGCTTGTATATTTTCTTCGTTGTCGACTAATCTGTTTCTTTTGGGCTTTGACCTACATTTTAAGGCTTGTAAACTTTTGAAATTATTAATCTAATCACAGATTTCAGCACGACTGCCGTCGGCAGCACGTCTCGGATCTGTTAACCAGGTGCAAACACAAAATGCAGACTTTTGTCCATGTACAATTAGTTTAACTTGCGCGTAAGATGTTGGTGAGCGTTTTTTTTGTGTGTATAAGAATAGATTGTAAGAGAGAGCGTGTGGCTTTTCACGGCTACGTAAGACCTTAAGAAATATGTATGCCGCATTGTAAAGAAGGTTTTTTGCCATCGGACTACAACACCATGTCTTCATTACGTGAATAAAAACACGTCAACGGAGAAAAAATGATCTGCTCAGCGAGATGACAACCGTAACTGCATCCAGCACATCAAGCATAACAATAACCCGATCATTTTGATATGCGTGTTATTTGACGGTCAGACTGGGGGTGTATTATTTAATGAAGAATGAACTGATGGTTTTTGTGGCTTGCGCCTGACCCACTTTTGGACTAATTGCGGTTGATTGGAAAAGATGCGGCCGATGATGACTGGTGCGCTCTCATCTGCACTGTGGGATCATTTTGAAAGATCGCACAGGCCTAATTTGTGGATCGAGTTACATTTACTTAAGCAGAAGCCGAGGAAATAGTTTTGTTTGGCTTCGTGCTGCAATCGGAATGTTCGAAATTTCGAAGTAGAGGAATACTTAATAAACATGAACTGGGCCGGGCGCATGCCGGTTGCGCTTTTTTTAGTTTCCTCTGAAGTCTGAAGTGTAGAAAAAATTGGGGGGATATTTTCAGAGGATAATATTGCATTGTTACACAATGCCTTTTGTAAAGTAGCCTTAATTTTTTTACAGGAATTGGAAATACTGAAAGGAGCAATCATTAAATGAAGATATATAATAAATAATGTGCAGTATGATTTTGTGACAAACTTGTCCGAATGCCTGCTTCGGCAGGTCATTTCTTCAGATCTGCAAATCACAGCGGTTTAAGCGTAACATTAAGTATTAGTACGACGTGCAGTGCAAAGTACCAGTAATTGAAATTGACCGTTTCGCTGAGAAATCGAGTACCGAAAAAAAATTTTACCTTTTTACTTGCAACCTTGCTTGCAAGTTGAGCACGCATGTAAGTACAAAATTAATTTTCTTGTCTTGTTTTTGTGCTTTTGGAGATTGATTTGGCTATTTTTGGCTTGCAGAGCTTTGTTATGCAAAAACTGGGATTGAAAAAATGTTTGTACATCTGAGTTATGAACCATCCTGTTTGTGTTGATTGTAAATCTGACCCAAATTAAAAATGAAGTGAATTGACGTCGTTAAATGAATCGGTTGAAATTAGAGATGGATGATTGGCAAAGAAATCTTCCGGCTAATCAGTTTAGTTGGTCCACCGTGAGCGTGGATCTGTAGGCTTTTTGCTTTTTTCGATGGATAAGTAAAATGTCTCGCTTGATTTGCCATTGTGACGAGTTGGGATTGCGGAGCTCATCGAACGAGGAAAGTGGGGAATCAGATTTTCAAGACTATTGATCAGTCATTTTTTAGGCTTCACTGCGGGATAGTGCGACGTTTATGTGATTGTTAATGCTTTACACAATCAGATTCGAGTAGTAATTCAAATGTATTACTGTATATACCGTGAAATCGGCAGGAGCAGATGGGGCTGATCGTTGTGATTTCTCAGCATCGATTTCAGATTTTTTATGGATATTTTCATTGCTAATGGGTCTCAAGGGAATAATACAGTATTAACACAGACTTTTTGTTAGTGCATTCGTGGAATCAAATAGGTAGAGTAACTTAGAAATAAGTGTTTTAATGATCTACCATTATAAATTTATGACTTAATATTCGGAGAATTTCAAGAGAGAGTTTTTGGTTATAATATAAATATATGTTGTCAACTTGTCATAATGATGTTACTTGTCCTTTTTACTTATATCTCTAAGATTAGATGCATTGTGTTGTACACAAAAGGTCCTTTATGCATCCTGTAAATTTTGTTGGTTAAGACATTTCTTTTATGGCCTTGCGTGGCAAATTTGCTACTTGTGCTTTTATGCAGTAAATATACAGATACGGATACCGATCTCATACGCTTATTGTTAGTACGCACACTACTTTTTGCATGTGTCGTATTCTTAAATGCTGAGTCGGAAAAAATGTCGAATCCTTTAGAAAACAATAATATCGTATAAACACATTAATTCAACGGATGATTTCAGTAAGTTATCGTATCGTGGTGTATCTGTATGCGTCACTATGCATCAAGCAGTCAAAGTTGCTATTTTAACTGGACCGATACCGGCATGTCTTGTGGTCAGTGACTAGCAGGTACTCCAGGCGACATTGAAATTAATAATAATATCTATATGATATCTATATGTAGAAATAAGAAGGATGCGCGTGCAGATATCGACATGTTTGTTTTTGTCATGGTTATTACTGCTCGACACCCGTACTTGTTACCCACAGACGCCTTGTAGATGTGATGCGTAATGAAAAAATATTGCCTTATTGCGTTTTACAGGGGTATGAAATATAAAATGATTACTACTGAAATAATATAATTGAACGCGAGATATTGTATAAACTGCTTTATTGTGTTGCGATTTCGTTTTGCCGTAAACTGTCACACTACGAGTACGAGTACTGCTGCAAAGTTTACTGATTACAACATAAATTAAATTATTGTAATCAGGAGACATTCTTGATGCATTGTTACAGTTTACGATAACTTTTTATGGTATGCGTACTGAAATTGTGACAGGGGTGATTCATTTGTCATTTACTGGCTGTAATTGTAACAAAATCGGCAATAACGTTAATAAGCACTCTTTTATTCGGCAGTGGCCTCCTCTTAGATTAAAAAAGCCAGCGCTGGTACACACTAATTAAAATGATAGTTATGATACCCTAGAAATTTTAAGACGCTAACAAATGTTGGTAGGGTGTTTATTTGGTTTCAAAGGATGATAGTGGCATGGTCCGGTATTTTATCAAAAGAAGTACATATAACGTGCATATCTATATTAAACGTCAGTTCCTGTGCTACATATTTGCCTGTTTTTATGAGAATTAAAGTGACAAAGGCATTTGGTTGGAAGTAGAATGGTAAAATGGTCAAGTGGACAAGGAATGCACACAGTAGGGATTGAATTAAGCGCTGGTCAGCCGGAAGTGTGCCCAGTTGTGGAATATGGTGTGCACTGGCGCTCTTGATCAGGATCAGGCTGCACAAGAATAATGAAATTGAATGATCGCCAGCCTTTACTTCCGGCGGTGTCCCCTGGGAAGCGGGGAAGAGTGTGCCATTTTGGTGCCATTTTGAGATTTTGAAAGGATTGTTTGTACTGGACAACAGTGGACGCTTGATTGGTGTTGTTCTTGTTGAGTCACTCACTTGACAGTCAGCCATGTTATTCTGCTGAAGTTTTAGTTTATTTATCCTTATGATGGATCAGGGATTTTAGTAGTAACCATAAACCTTTGTCTCGCTAGTTGTTTTAGTCAGTTATTAATATTTGTATTCTTTGGCATAGTTAACGACATTTGTGAATTTTTGACTGTTATTGATTATACGCGAGCTTTATACTTTAGCGAAAAATATGTAGGTAACGGTACTCTAGTAACCTTGATATCCTTTTTTGGATCTCTTTCTGAGAATTTAATTTTGCAAATAACCATACATGAAGTAAGCAGTCAGCGACGTCATATTCAAAATATAGGATGAAGGACCCATACAATACACGCAATTACAATACATCTGCGCTGCTGACAGCTTGACTGTCGTAGCTTTAAAATAAAAAAAAACCATTTCGTGGTTGCGATACATGCAGCTCTGTTCTACGGTAGTTATAAGGCACTTATACTCACGAACAACATTCGAAATGCTCGTAATGTGCACCGCATTTGGTGTTATCTGAACATAATTGAAATTAAAAAAATTCTGAGACATACTGTACTTCTATTTATGCTTATGCGCTAACGGCATGATTATGCCATTATTCTTCGAGTGATTATCCACATGTACAGTAGTGACCGGCTTCCGGTTAATTGTTACTGGTTAGGTACCATATCATTCCGTATTCGTATCACCAAAATTTCGTACACGCTGACATGCACTGAGGTAAATAAATTAGCATGTTTTTAAAAAAAATTTGCAGATAATCAGAATCTGCTTTTGTCCCTCCAGAAGCTGGGAGTGACTTTGTTTAGTATCTACGGAAGTTAGTTTGGAAACAATCGTATTCGGTGCCAGTAGTGAGCAGTGCCACTGACCATGAGCACTACTATATGCAGCTGCAGAGAGTAAAACAAAAACCGTAATTTAAAACCAAACAAAAAACCTTCGTTCGAGGGAATGCTGTTAATCCCAAAACAGTGCGACAGCTGGTTACTAAATTTACTTGGTTAGGTACATGTTGTCGAAATTCGGAATGGCAGTGACTGTGGTGTTGAACTTTTTCATTTTTCTGCGATGAAATTCACCGGTTCAATCAATGCAAATTCAGTGGTGGGATCGCCTGATTGGCACTGTACTGCCAGTGACGTTGAGGATTTGACACACCTTGGCAATATCGCTAGACAAAGCAGATTGTTTCTCTCTGGGGTAATTTGAAGATGGGAACAAAGAACATTTTTAGACGCAAGCGGACAGACAGAGCTCACAGCAGACTGCTGACCACTCGACAGGTGGTGCGTATGTACCTGTGTGTACTATGCCGGAGAGGAGGGGCTATTCACAAGACAAGCACCAGTGCACAGTGCCGCATTGTTTCTGCGATACACAGCCATTTGCATTTGCATGGCCGCGTGAAGGCGCTATTTTATGGGATTTTTCAATGCTGTGCGTCGACATCTGTCCATTGGGGGGTATACATTTTTAATTGTTGGAAAACCAGGATAGTGGTGTTGCGCCGTTTTATAGCCGATGATTGACGAGTAGGATAATCGGCGGTAAACTGGTTTACGCTGTGTGAAGTTACATGTGTTGGGGTTGTAACAGTTATGACTTGACGCTGGCGTATGAAAATCATTTTTGATTGGAACATGGTTTTTTTCTCGTGTGGTTTTGACACATTGAGGAAAAGTCGGTCAGCGATGGTGGTGCTTTTCTTGTACGGATTCTGGGGATTGAGTTGTATGTGACGCATGTGCGTAGTATTAAGAAGTGATGGGTGGCCTGTCGGAAAGTTTTGCGATGGATTTTTTGGGGTTCAGTGAAATGTCTTGTTAAAAGACGGGAGATCGTGTCAGGGATTTTTTTGCTTGTCGTCCACTTCTCTTTCTGACATTTGGACGCGTTCTACTTCTGTGGATTAGCGGAAAATGCGAACGCCGGTGAAATTCATTCGTAAGTGTACATTTGGGGTTTATTATATTTATGACAATTTATTCGAAAATTGTAAATTTTTTGTTCAGTTTTGATTGATTTTTGTGCTATTTTCTTGAACGAGGGGTGATTGTGGCTGGGAACATGTGTTGATTGTTTATTATAGCCTTCATGCAGTATGTTTGCAGTACGAACATCTTGAAGTATAAATTAACCTCGATAATTTTTTGTGCGATGTGGAGCTCTTTGTGGTATGCGGCTTTTATCGAACTTATATCAATATTTACGCTATTCATCGCTCTTAGCCATATTTATTATGGTTTTTATCGATTGTGTTCGATTTTCACCCTGAATTACTGAACAGCAGAAGCTGCTGATGAAACCATGCAGATTTTTCCAAACGTCGAAGCGGCAGCAAGATAAATTAAAATTTGAATTTACACATGCAGAATTTGTAATTCACACGTTTTGCTCATGATTTTTTTCCTGAATATTATTCGTCTTCAGAGAAGTTTTGGCTGGTGTTAGCTTATGTCCTGACCAGCTTATCAGCACTTGTGCTTTGATGCTATTATTAAGGTTTTTTCATTTGAGACGTTTTTCACTTACGCATTAACTAACTGAAGTATGTATTGCTCGTTACTCCTGATGTAACATACATTAATAACTATCTGGATATTTTGCTGTTTTTTCTTTTTGAATTTTTGTCCTAACTTATCTGGAGCTGCCTCTTTTTGTTTCTAAAACTGCGAGAGATGCTTATAAAGGGGTGTAGTGGTATACATATTTTATCTTGAATTTATGCAAATTTTTTGTAGCTGTTTCCAGATTTGTTGAGGGGTTTTCCGCATTAATTATTCAAATTTCGTAATCCGTCTCAAGTAGTGTGGATTTTTGCACTTGAGCGTTTGGCCGCTGCAATTGAATTGTTGTGTATTTTTGTGGAAATGGATACCGCTTGCCAGAAATGCATTAAGAAACAGCAAATAGACAGGATGTTGGAAAATAAATCTTCTTACCAAATTTGTACTCCCATTGTCGAACGGCTGCTGTGCAGTGCCGCTTCGCTGGGCATTGTTGAGCGGCGTTTTTCATGCGCTCCGCTCGAGTGCTTAGATCGCACTGCTGCCAATGGACAAAAGACGCATTGTGCAAGAAAATTGCTATCTTTACGCAGATGCCGTGTTCGAGACTTCGAGCGTTGTTTTTTTAAGCTGGCTAAAATATTATTGACAGTGATAATAATCAGTTATACTTTGTAATTTATAGATTCCTTTGTCAATTCGCAAGAATGGACCATTCCGCGGACAGTGCCGGAGATTAAATTGGGCATATTAGGCAGTGTGGCCAGCGGCAAATCGGCACTCGTTCATCGATATTTGACTGGCTCGTATTTACAAGAAGAATCTCCCGAAGGTAATTTGACTGGGATCTGCTTTTTAACATTTTTCTCGCTCTTTGAATTTGCGGGAAATTTTAGTCGTATGAAGAATAATTTAAGAATTGGCGCAATAAATGTTATTGCGGTTTTTATATTTTATGATGACATGTCTGAAGTAAAATTTTCTTTCCATTTTTATTGGTATGCGGTGATGGCTGTTTGGAGTATTTTTCTGATACTGTAATAAATAAAGTTTCGAACTTGACGGATTTTGTTTTTCGGATATTAGCACATTCCTTTCTCCCGCAGAATGAATTTAGCTTTCCACTTTTTCTAATTTTTTCGTTCCTGTCATAATAAAAGCTTTTTGTGGTGTTTGACGCAAGTGTGAATATTACAGAACGTTACCGCAGTGTGATAGCTCTATGCAAATACCAATAAAGTGATTGGTAAAAAATTAGAAACACTTAGCGGTCAAATGTTGCGCGGTGAACCTGTTAGGAACCGGATTGCACTGCGATTGGCAACTTATGCTTACTGACTGATATCAAATGGTTTTTTATTAATCTGTCTGTTTACGGTGTCTTCTTGTAGGTGGGAGGTTTAAGAAGGAAATGAACATTGACGGACGGGCCTACCTGCTGCTCATACGCGACGAGGGTGGTCCTCCGGAAGGACAGGTTAGTCCAGGAAATCTTCGGTTTAAAGCGTTTTGCTGCAGTGTTGCCGTCGGTTTTCTTGGTGGTGTTTTGTTTAATTTTCTATTGCAACCTTGCACGTACTTGTTGTATAATCGTTTTTTATTTAGATTATTGTTTTGTTTGAATTGCAAATTTATAACCGTTCTGGTTGAGTGCTTCTTGTAGTTTATTTTTTGATAGAGACATACATACCTTTACTTGTTGTATGGCTGCCTTGAAATTTTTTATCGCTTGAAATGGTGTTATTTATTGCACGATTAATCTGTCGCTCTGATTGACGTAGATGTACTGGTTTCGGTTGCGCGGTTTTTGAAAGACTGCGCGGAAGAATAGTGGCATGTGTATGTTTGACCTTCGGTCTTGGTTAGGCCAAATCAAAATTGTAATTTGATATTGCGCAAAATCGATCCAGACCCGGCACCTTTTTCATGAAATATGTTCTGTTGTATAGAATGTAGTCGAATTTTTGTGGCTCGCACCTTTTTTGGTATTTAAAATTTATGATTTATTGATTACACTTTAATCGTTTTTGATCGTACTGTGAATGATTTTCTAAATTTTGTTGGTCTTTCATTGTACTTTGTCAGCAGGTCATAATACTTATTCTTGGACAAGTGAATCCGCATGTAAAAATACCAGGATGAAAATTGTTTAATTCCCCTCTGTTATTGTTTTTATGATGCTTTAGTGCCTTTTTAAAACTGTACGCTACAGACTACCGGCAAATACATATTCGTACTGTATCGATAATTCGATACTCGTATTAATTTTGTTGGGTGAAAGCCGTGATGGTGAAACGAAAGTTGAGTTTGCTATTTAATTAAAGAACACTTCATCTGTCATAGATCAAGATGTTTTTGGTGTGGTTAAGGATGTCATCTGATGAAAATGTTTTCGGTGTATGTTTGATTGCACAGCTCTTTAACGATCATTGCCTTTGAAGCGATCACTTGATTACTGCGAATTTGCGGTTATAATCAAGTGGTAGGATAGATGTCGATAATGCTGCAGGTGTTGTCTTTGACAAGCAGCCCTTGGTATAGGGAATTGTATGCCTTGTTTATTTGCAGTTTTCCAATTGGGTGGATGCGGTTATTTTTGTCTTTTCCTTGGAAGACGAAAACACGTATAATGACGTGTACAATTATTACGCGCGAATGGCGGGGCACAAGAACATCACCGATCTGCCCATTGTTCTAGTCGGCACGCAAGGTACGAATGTAAAAATGTTTTCGGCCTTTTTGGAGCGTAGTCGGCAACACAAAGAATTATAAAACGTTGAAAGGATAAATATTTTGTTGATATGCGTTTATTAAAGGTGCAGCGAAATTAATACGTACTGCAGTTGTCTTTTCCTGGCTGGGATTAGTATCATTAAGTTGATATTTTCTGGAATTTGATACCTAAGTGATTACTGAAATCAAATTTTTTTAAAGCAATATGCCGGGGAAAACTAATTTGAATTTTTTAGTAAAAAATTTTCTGTCGGTCTTATGTTTTGCGGCCTTTAGTTGTGTTATTACTGTGCAGCAGTTGATCAGCGTAGTGGGTTGGCAATATGCAAATGGACACCGAAGGTGAATACCGTCCTTCAGTTGCTATTCTTAAGATCTTAATACGTATTGTCATTCTCATTTTTGACATTTATTGTTTTAGAATTTTCTTTTCATGAGAAAAATACTTCAAGCTTGAACAGTATTCCGTCGATTGTTTTTGCATTGAGTTTTCTATATTATCTGGTATCGTTAGATGCGATTACGGAAGCCAATCCCCGTGTCATCGGTGAGGATTTGGTGAAGCGCCTGCAGTCAGATCTGCGGAAGTGTCCCTATTACGAGACATGCGCCACGTACGGTCTGAACGTGGAGCGCGTCTTCCAGGACGCCTGCCAGCGCGTGGTGGCCATGCGCAGTGCCGCCCAACTGGCCTTGTGTTCGCGGCCGGTGACCTACAGCACCCACTCCACCCCCGCTTCCAGTTATCGCGTCCTGAATAGTCAGTCGCCGGTGGTGCAGAACGGCTGCTATGTCAACGGGACGGTGGGCAGTTATCGTATGGAAGCCCGCGGGAATCTGCCGCCGGTACCGTCGCCGGGATTCTTGAAGGAGGTGGTGGATAAGGTTACGGGAGGGGTGCCATTGACCACCCCGGCGACGCCGAATACCATGAGGAAAAATCGGCGGAGATCCAATATTTTATTGGTATGTTCTTGATCGCCTTGTTGGTTTACATAAAGCGGCAACCTAGATCGTAATAAGTGTCCTGGTATTAAATTACTATAGCGACCGTGTTATAAATTGTGGCTTGGATTTGATATGATCTTTTTTTGTAGAAAAGCTGAAATAATTGTATAACAATATACGGTATAAAATAGATGTATTATAATAATATATAATTATATTGGAAATAAGGCGTTTTTTTCTTGTAGCCCAAGAAATACGATGATGACAAAAAGAACAAGGATAAAGATAAGGACGTGCGTGTGGGACACGGTCGAGAAATTCCGAAGAAGCAAGGCTTTCTATACAAGCGCAGCACTAAGGGTCTCAATTTAAACCGCGAGTCGCGGAAGAAGAAGTATTGTGTATTGTTCGATGGTGGACTGCTTGCCTACTACCAGAGCATGAACGTAAGAAATGCTAAAGTTTTTTTTTAATTTAGAGTATAAATTGATTAGACGCATTTTTACAGGATTACATGAATGATTCTGGAAGGAAAGTCATCAACCTGTTCGGCACAATGGTTCGCGTTCCTGGACAGCCGCCTACCGGCGTGCAGCGGCCATCTGAGAACAATTCAGCGAGAAGTCACAACGGTGCAGAAAGTGAGCAAATTGTGTCTTTGATTGTGTTACACTAGGGAAGGTTGGAAATGTCCGTTTACACATTTAGTATATTCTTAATTTTTATATTATAACGGCGAAAAGGAATCGTTACGGGAAATAATTGAAATGGATGAAATGATTGTGTAGCTTTATTCATATTTCATCGTACCTGAAGTTGTAAATCATAATGTGATTTGGATTTTGATGCGGTTTGTGTTATGTTTTGCGTTTTGTATCTTGTTCTCTTGGGCTTTGCTATGTTGATACGGTAATGATGTAAAAGGTTATTTTGAGCGATATCTATTTGCCAAAACGTTGCTTCGCGGCTTTTGGTAAAAATTGTCACAAAACTTCTTAAGTTATCGAACTTGTCAGTGTGCTGTTGTAGACGATCTGCACGACAGTCCGTTGTACACAGCATATGAAATCCTAGCGGAAACCGTTGACTATCCGCCCCCGCGGACACCCGGTGGCTCGTTGTCCAGTGCATGCGATGAAGCGGTGATCATTGCCAACGGACACGCTCCCGTCACGCCGACAGGTAAAACTCGATCGAAATCGCGTTACACTTGCTCGTTAGCTGCTTATCTCGTGCTTCACTAACCCCGCTGCCTAATGGAGCTCCAACAGGTAAACATGTTGCTTTCGGATTCCCGTTTTACTTTAAAGCTAACGTGACTTTTTCTTGTAGGATCATTTGAGGCTTTTCTTTTCCCTGCAGTGAGTAACGGCGGAACGCCCAGTGTGAAGAAGCGGCACCGGAAGAAGAACGGCTTTAAGATCAGTTCCGACAACGGGGATAACGACTCCGAGTATGAGTTTTACATTCGGGGATTGGATAACCGGCAGTGGACGTTTGATGCGGGAAGTGCCTCCGAGCGGGATGAATGGGTGCGGGCCATTGAGGATGAGATACAGAGTTGTCTGGTGAAGGGCGGGGGTGGGCAGCCCAATACGGTGGTGGATGTGCAGACGGTGCGGAGTGTCCCCGGGAACGATCGCTGTGCGGATTGTAAAGCGCTCAGTAAGTTGCACCGATATTCTGCACGTCATTCGTTGTACCATCTAAAGTAGCATATCTGTTGAAGAAGAGAAATTTGTTTTTTAAACAACTTATTTTGTTCATAAATTTGAAAATTTTTGTTTAACTGCTAGATCACAGAACATCGTTAATAGGTTCGAGTTGGTTAGTTAAGTTTGGGCTTGTTAAAATACGAGTACTGCACTGCAGTAATTTTGCATTGTATGTTGCAGTTAGTACAACGTGGTTTGCAGAATAGTTTATGAAATTTATTGATGAAAATCATTGCTAATTCATAATGATTATTTGGTTGTGGTAAAAAGATGAATATATCTTGTGAAAGCTACAGACACACATACATTTACTCGTAGTATTCGTAAACTGGATCAAAATCGTTTACCTTTTTTCGGTTGCGTGCAACGAGTTTGAAATCATTATTGCAAAAGGTTGTGCTTTTATATTTTTTTCTCTTGCCAAAACTGGATTTAGAGTTGTAGTAATGTTTGAAATTAATTCTACAAAAATGTCGCTTCGAAATTACGATAGCATTGCAAGGAAAAAGAAAATAACGGCAAGCATTTTCCTGCATGGATGATGGTTTATCGAAATGTGTTCGTAAACATGTCATTAACAGATCTTGATATTTCATTTACAGATCCCCTGTGGGCCAGTTTGAATTTGGGGATTCTCATCTGCATCGACTGCAGCGGCATCCACAGAAAACTGGGCACGCATGTATCGAGGGTGCGATCACTAGATTTGGATGAATGTTGGACGTAAGGATATCATTAGCACGGCGCTTTTTTATGGCTGTATATATTAATTCACGCTGTTTGGGACCGGCAGGAGTTTCTCGTCAAGGTGATGAAATCTGTGGGGAATCGTCTGGCTAATTCCGTGTGGGAGGCCAAGTTAGCGCCGCATCGACAGCTTTCGCCGAATTGCAATCGTGATAGCAGGGAACGGTTTATTCATGCAAAATACGTCGCCAAGGAGTTTATTGCTGGTCTGCCAACCTCGCGGTCGGCCATTGAGGTAAATTGAAGGCGGAATTCATTTCAGTATGGGAATCGATACGTAAAAGTGCCGTAACTGTCTATGATTGAAATTTCTTTGTAAACATACCGTGTTGCTGCAATAAAACCATACAGTATAGTGAGTATACTTACACTGACATGTTGGCACCTATTATTTTCAGTTGTACGGTTGTACCGTATTTTGCATTTTGAGAGTTCTGAATAACTGCTGATAGCGTAGATTAGTGACTTCACATCATACGCTCTGTATGGGCTATGGAGTGTAGCTAAAATATACTAAATGTTTAATGCTAACAGTTTTCTTAACGAATTTTTTCCTTACAAAAGGCAGATGTAACTTTCTGATGCCATGTGACTGGAACAAAAAAGCATATTAAAATTAACCAGATTTATTATTCTGAATCTCTGATAACAAATTGTGCGCAAACCCGAGACTACATTTGTACCACGAAGGTCGAAGGGTATACCTAATTAATATTGTATGTTATTAATCCCAGTGTTAGTGATATTTCTTCAATGGTTTTTTAGGCGCTATGTTATCAATCTCCAGCATTATTAATATTTTTCGTTGCGGTTTCAGCACCTTCGGGAGGCGATCCACACGAGTGATATCTATCTGGCAATATTATCCCTAAATTATCTGGTCAAAGAAGAAATCAACGTCCCCTCTTCCCACGATCATCAGACCCCGCTGCACCTCGCCGCCTCCACGGGGAACGCCGTCATGACGCAGCTCCTCCTGTGGCACGACGCCAAACCCAACCTGCGCGACTACCAGCACTGCAGTCCGCTGGATCTCGCCCAGTCCGCACCGTCATCCGAATCCACGCCGAATGCGTCGACGTCCTGGTGCAGCATGGCGCTCTGGCCATGTCGCCGCCGCCCCTGGGGCGCAATCTGTCGGATAGTGATGTCCTGACGTCACCGAATAGTTCCTTGCCCAGTAGTTTTCACCGGAAGATGAGCGGGCGGTCGCCGGCATATAAGAACATCCAGCCCAGTGCTGTGTTTAATGTGCAGCAGTCGGCGGATGTGCTAGAGAAGCTGCCGGCCAGTATTATATAACGGGATGGAGTTTGGTTGATTTTTTTGTTGGCTTGGTAGAGATTTTGCCAAAAAAGTGTAATTGTGTATTTTGTAAATTTTGAGTATTTTTTCGGCGTTGTGCATTTAATTGGGCGGTGTTTTCTTTTTGTATCAGGGCGTTTTGTGGATGGTTGTGTAATTTTTTGATTACTGATCCTCGGGGGTTGCATAGTTGCTGTTAAATGTCGTTGTCAATGCACATGCTGATTTGCAAATGCTGATTATTATCGTTGATTTGTAAAATGGACCTAAACGCGGTGTTTGATATCGAAAAAACCGAAGCGTTATCGTTTCAGTGTTTCGTTTTGCATACGTACTACTTACAGGTTGAAAACGCGACAATGTGCAACAAATGGAGTTTATTTGATTTATTGAGCCCATTTATATGTATCGCTGCGAATCAAAATTAGCGACAAACTGAAAACATCACGAGTAGAAATGTTTTAGATTGATTCGGTTTCATAGCACACGTTGACGTATGTAAAGGATCCGCAAGCGCACGTAACTCCTTAATTTTTATTCTGAAAGTCTAAAGGTGCAGCTAAGGAATCAGAAGACAACTTTTGCACACTTTTTGGATCTCACCACAGCCACTGTTCTACAGTTTCTACTGGTGTCAGTTGATACTGGTATGGACTATGGAACCGTTTAGCCGAATTATTCCTTTGCACTGCTCATTTTATGATTTCGTTTTTAAATGATTAATTTTCCTGCAGTTAATTATATCACTTTTGGGTAAAGTTTCCGTTTAACTCTCATCACGGCATCGCATCATCGATTACATTGGGGTCACATAGGGCACGCCCTCCTTAGTGATTCAGCGTTCACGCCCTCCTTAGTGCATTCAGGGCGTAGAAATTCGTTAACACGCTCTGTCTAACTCTGTACTTTGATTAAAGCGGTGCCCGTTTACGGTGACTACTCACTCTGCAATGCCTGGTGAATCATCCACAGTTTAAAACATCAACCAATCACAGAACGTCATGGGCTGTCCCTGTTGCTGTGTTCCATTTACGCGCCCGTCTTGTTTGACTCGGTTTTGCATACGTCAGCGCCAGTGCCTGATTTCACAATCCGTCTGCACTCTCATACACGCCGTCAGCCGGCTGTTTATTCTCTCCGTTGTTCTGCTTGGCGCGGAGTAATCGCCATAAGTTCTATAAAGCCATCTCGCATCACCAATTCACCATCTTCTCTCCAGATTTTATTCACTTTTTATCGCCCGCACCGATACCAATCAGTGTTTCTAGGCGAGGCCAGGAAGTGTTGAGAGCATTGTTTGTGCGAGACAACGTTCCGAGAACGTTTATTGTGCTTCTGTCAGTCTGTGATTGCACCTGCAGTTCAATGGCGTTAACATTGCGCGCGATCATCGTTCTGCGGTCTTCCTTCCTGGAGCGTTATCCCATCTCATCCCGCTGTCTGTCTTCGCGGAAATCCTTATTTTCCTCCAAGTTTAACCTATAGTTAACTGTTCCCTCCCAACGTTCGACGAACTTGGGACTGTGTTTTGGATTTCTTGATCTCGCATTTTTTGCACACGTTTTTGATTTTTTGTTTATAAATATTTATTTATTTTTTCCTGGTAAGTGGCGGGTGGAATAATAATAAATTATTAGAAATATTATCCAGTTGTAAAATGATTCATTTTCAGTAATAATCTATTTATAATCATGCCGTCCGCCACGGAGTTCTTGCCCGCGTCCAAACGCGGTCCGCACACGGCGCTGACGGTTCCCGAGGCGGTGTCCAAGGGGAACGGCGTGTTCGTCAGTAATGGGGCCTACCAGGGCCTGGCGCACAGTGAGTCGGCGGTGACGGTGTTGAATCTGTGGAAGCAGCGCAGTGGCGCGGCGGGGGTCCACGGGGAAGGCTCGGATCGGTCGGGATCGGGCTCGTCCGTCACGGAGGAGCTCCCTTCGGCCACTGATCCCTGGGCACTTCCGGAAATGCGTCCGGAAGAGGAGGCACGCTGGGAAGGTGAGAAACGTGTACTCTGCAGAGCATCTTTTTGCGGTTATAATTTTCTGCGAATTAATTAGAATTTTTGTGTGATTTTTCTTGTTAATAATTTCCGCGTCTGATTTTGGCACCCATTTGCCTGTTCGGTGTTCTGCCTGTTTTTAGCTTTGGTCATTTTTGAAAAACACTAAATTGGCAGAATTTTATGAAACGTTAATCAATTCATGGTCATAGAAAAATTTTGACAATTTTTTTTTAATTATGCGTTCCAGTTTTGTTTTCGTGAGTTGGTCAGAATAGTGTTTACTGCAAAGAAAATTGAAAGCGTTGCTGACTGTTCACTGAATTACGGAAAAAGCAGGGTCCGGTAGAAGTTGCGTTTGGTTCGGCTCTGATTCATATTAGTATGTGAATTATTGTGTTTTCGCTTTACGAATACATTTCCGCAGTCAACTAGAACGAGGCTCTTTGAAATGTGAATCACTTGTTGTGGTTTTGTTCGCGGCATATTGCTTTATCGGATCGTGTCATGCATTGAAATTATTCTTAATAGCGCACGTAATTTGTCATTGAAATTTCTTGTAAAATTTACGCAAATCGCACCTTCTAAATTAGTTTAATTCTAATTTATGCCATCAGTGGTCAGATAAATTGTGTGAGATTACCAAGAGAAAATTACGGAGAGAAAATAAAACTGGGAATTACTGTAACGTGCGCAGTGTGTTTTCTGGTTATTGTCGTAAGTGTTTCGACGGTTTTTATTTCGGCTCTTTTGACAAGTGACTTATGACGGCGCAAAAATTGCTAAGAAACGTTTTGCTCGGAGTGCTGGTAGTAGGAAAACCGAGCACAACGGGCGGTGTTTGGCGAGGATTAGTACTCGTATGACATTTCCGGCGCCGCTTATGTCTACATTTCCCTGGCGCATTCTCCAGAAAAACCATCTGACGTTAGTCGCACTAATGGATCCCTTTTTTGACCCCGGCGAGTGTACACTCTTGACGGGGTGTGGTGTGGTGGGAAACGCTCGATAATGCGATATTTTGTTATTGCTACACTGCGGCGGCGGTGCAATGATCAAAAGGATCCATAAAACCACTTGGAAGTGGTTATTTGTGGTGGTTAGAAGAATTAAAAAGGGAAAAGGGCCCGCCCGTCACTGTTAAGTGACGTGGGATGACATGGGGATTGCGGGTGGATTTGATGATGCATTTGCCGTAATATTTTGATTAATACACTATTTTACGTAATCTGTAAATAAATCACTTGCCGAGGATCAAAATGCTGTAATGACGTGTGATCCCTTTTGCGCTTATGTACATGTATTGGTATTTACCTTCTCATTTCCAGTTGTTGCTGATTTTTTAAATGTGATGGAACGCTGAGTTTTGTACTTATGAATTAGAGCGAAATACAGTTTTTTGTTATCGTTGAATTTATCCTGCGAATACAAAAGAGGTTAATTAAAAAGGGTATGCATAAATCAACATCATCTGTTATACGCTTTGGCAGGGTTGACGTATTGACGAGTTTTAATGTTTGGCTAAACCCTACACCAGTTCTGATATTACTCTAGACATTGAATTACTGCTAGTGCTGAAAAATTTGCTGAATTTGATTTTTTAAGTTGTTATTGGACTAGGTAGTTCATGCCGTCATGGCGTTTGTAGCAGTAAATATACTTTTTTGTGGTGTGATAGATTTGTCGAGATGGATGCGTTGCCGGCGCGTAGTGGTGAACTGGATACTGAAGCCGTTGACCGTGGTGATGCTGTTGTATCTGTTTATCTGTTCGTTGGACTTCCTGAGCTCGGCCTTTCAGCTGGTCGGCGGGAAGATGGCGGGACAGGTGTTTGTGGAGAATCCCTTCTTGGCCAATCCCATCTGCGGATTGATGATTGGTTTGCTGAGTACCGTCTTGGTACAAAGCTCCTCGACATCCACTTCCATCACGGTCACCATGGTTGCTTCCGGAAGTAAGTCTTACTGAAAAGCCGGTGCTCTGTCATTCCCAGTTCATATAGTTACTTGTAAAAAAATGTGTTTATTGTAATCGTATATGTACCGATTTATAAATATCTGCATTGATTACAGTTATAAATTGTAATTATAAATTTAAATGAGCATGTTATTTGATTTATTTCGGTTACAAAAGGATTTTTTTATATCGTTGAATATTTTATGTTATTCAACGTATGTCTTTGTGTTGTGTGCAAGTTCATTCGGTTACAATTGCGCTGGTTTGTAGTTTTAACGGTGCGGCTGGCCATTCCCATCATCATGGGAGCTAATATCGGCACATCCATCACCAACACCATTGTCTCCCTGGCGCACAGCTCGCATAAGGATGAATTTCGGCGCGCTTTGCCGGCGCGACGGTGCACGATATGTTCAACTGGCTGTGCGTGGTGGTGCTGTTGCCGCTGGAAGTCAGCACGGGATATCTCTACTACATATCCAAAGCGGTGGTGGATAGCTTCGATATTCAGAAAGGCCGCGGCCCGGCCGAAGAGACGGAGTTCCTGAAACGGCTGACGCAGCCGTTCACGTCGCGGATTATCCAAGTGAGTGTACTGTTTTTTGGCTGGATTGTTCTATACCGTGGCATGGCGTTCCTTTGTGACTGCGCGTTTTTTACGAATGAAATGTGATCTTTTCGGAAATTATAAACAGTACACTGAGGCGAAGTGTGTTGTAAGTGTTACGATTGTTTGTGTGATTATTTACAAAATTTTTGTTTTGCAGATGGATAAGCATGTGATCGAGCAAATTGCTATTGGGAGTAAAGATCCTGAATTGGAGAAAGCGAGCTTGCGAAAGCGATTTTGTGCCTATGAGACTGTGTTCAATGTTTCGAACAATGCCTCACACAGCATTCCCACAGAGCGCTGTAAGTGAAAATAGATGCGTACTAATTGAAACTACAGCATCGCTATTTTAATAACACTGGTTTCGAACCTATCGATTTATGTTGGGCAATTAGTCGCAGTTAGTATATCCCTATTGTTTTTAAAAAAGACAAATCACAGTGTGATTTCAACACTTTAATCTAATGGTAAGTAAAAAGTTGTTAATAAATCGTATCTTTTTTCAACGTTATCGCTTGAACGTGACAACATGTACCGCAAGAGCAGCTGCTCATGGTTACATGTTGTTGTCGCTGCACTACACAGATTTACTGATTGATGTCGCTGTAGTTCCTGGGGATTTTGGCTTTATTTGGCAGTCCTTGTTAATGCAGTCGAAGTTTTGCAGAAAATTGCACTATTTAAATACCGTCACCTGGAAAATGTTTGAAGTTAACTAGTTGTTTCCGTTTCTGCTTGTAGGTTCTTCCTGTTCAACACGGACGCTCTGTCCGATACAGTGGCCGGAGTGATTTTATTGGGCTTTTCCCTGCTGATGCTGTGTACATGTTTGGTGATCATGGTCAAAGTGCTGAATTCCCTCTTGCGGGGATCCGTGGCGCAGTCCATTCGGCGGTTTATTAACAGTGATTTTCCGGGTGTTTTTCATCACCTGACCGGTTATGCAGCGATTCTAGTCGGTGCTGGTTTGACCGTTGTGATGCAGAGTTCGTCGGTGTTCACTTCGGCTCTGACACCGCTGGTCGGTGTGGGCGTGATCACGCTGGAAAGAATGTACCCGTTGACGCTGGGATCCAATCTTGGAACCACTGGTAATTACATTCTCAGACTTTTTACTTTTTATTTATACATACATGCGAATGTTTAATGCACATAATTTTTTGTTATTCATTTAATTTTCGCATGGCTTGATTTCATGAATGTTGTAAGACATTATTTTACTGTTGATAAATCTGTTAAATTTGTGTCTATAATTTATAATTATGGTATCGCAGATTTATTTGCGACATTGTTATGTGCAGTATCGCTTGTTCATTTATAAATTCTATTGACCGTATTTATATTTTCATTTATACGTTTAATTACTGTACTGACACCCTGCACTCGGAAAATTTTCAACGGTGCAGCCACATATAATTGATTTTACTGTACTAAGTTATTAATGTGGTTATCTCATTGTCAAGATGGTCGTGTTTGTTGACAGGAACCGGTATTTTGGCGGCATTGGCCAGCGGCGGCGGGAAGCAGCTGGAGAGTGCCTTACAGATCGCCTTTTGTCATTTATTTTTTAACATTTCCGGCATCCTTTTATTCTACCCCATCCCCTGGACGCGCGTCCCCATCCGGCTGGCCCGCATGATGGGCAACACCACGGCCGAGTACCGCTGGTTCGCCATCCTCTACCTGACCGTCATGTACTTTGCCCTACCGGGACTGGTCTTTCTCCTCTCATTACACCCCCTGGCCATGTACCTGGTCGGCATCCCGTTGGCCATTTTAATTGTTCTTATCATTTTAATCAACATCCTGCAGCGCAAATGTCCGCGCGCGCTGCCCCAGCCCATGCGCAACTGGAAGTGGCTGCCGGTGGGATTGCGCTCGCTGGCGCCCTATGACCGGGCGCTGCGCCGTGTGACGTGCTGTGGGAACACGGAGGCGGGGGTGCGCGGCGCGGAGGACGCCCGGTTGATGCCGGGGATGGATGGGGAGTCGCGGAAGATGCTGCTGGGCGTCAGTCCGGGCAGTAGTGCCGCGCCGTCACGGGTGACGAGTAGTGCGCAGTTGGTCGGCGGGCTGCAGCGGCCGGACGGGGTCGGGCGGCTGTCGGTGCATAATGTGACGACGGAGGTGTGATTTTTTATGGTGGGTTAAAGAAGTGGAGACAGGTTATTTTTTGTCGAGTAATATTTTCTCTTTTCGGCGCTTTCATGTTTTTCTGTTCCGCGGCTGCCTTCGGACCGTGGTGTTTTTCTCTCTTTGGGATGTTGTAAATAATGCGAGTTTGTTGTTTTATTTTGTTTTCTTGTACATGACCTGACGGATTTCCAACAAAACAGTTACTGCGGATAGTGCGCTTACGAGGGGTCGATTAATATTGAGTTTGGTGGTTTATACTAGCTTCCGTGTCATGTGATGCAGTGAATCTGACAATGATCTGGTTATATTTGCACAAAAATATTCCTTTCTAGAATAATTAGTAACAATCAAAATATAATTTCTCGGCTACAACGTAAATCCAGGGTCTACACTCTGGCCATTTAACAGCAGATAGATTCAGATAAAGACATTCGAAATACTGATGCTGTATGCTTCTTTGGGCTCACCGACATTTGATTTAGTTAAATGTTAGTTCGACGTCGTGACGGATCGACATTGTGTCTGTTCGACGAAGTGAGCGGTCGACGAATTTTCGTCGACGAAATGGCGGGTCACCCTTCTATGCATAAACACATGAAATTTCGAGTTGCTGACGCTATGTTGTACAATGATGATGAAGTTAATTCTACTGCGATTTTTATCTTGTTTGTTGAATGGGCTTAACGGCTACAACATTCAGGAGTAACCTTCACGGTTAGACAAACGTTCAAGATAAAAATCTGTCAGAGCTACTTTGCTATCGACATATAACTATGGGTAGCAAAATAAAAAAAGGGAAAGATTTCGCTATTTGCTTATTTTGTGTATGAAACGGTGTGCACTTCGGAGGAAGAGAACTTTACTACTACTACAAATTTTACCATTTTTTGACAATAATTTAAGGGTCCCATGATGCTCTGTTTGTTATGAAACACAAAATGGAATTTTACCGGGTGGTGCCATAGCCAAGCATGGTGAATACGGTCAGCCACATGGCCGTCAACGGCATATTTACTTTCCGGTCATCAATAATCGGTGTTGCCGTCGCCACAATCGGCATCACTAGCAAACTGGCCGTACTCCACAAAAAGGTCACACACATTGTATTAGCCGTAATCATGCGTTTCCGTTCCATACGCCGCGCATTCTTCTGGCTGTCGTCCGCAGCGTTGATGACCATCCTTCTTGCCACCATTTTGATATACAAGAAAACATACGAAGCGGCCGTGAACGCTGCCGGTCCATAGAAGCCAATTAGTAGTATGATGTTGCCCAGTTTTCCCATCGGGAACGCAGTACAGTTGCCTAACGCCGTGGAATCGTACGCTATGCCGATATTAAAACAACCTAAAAGTCCCAAAAGCCCCGCCGCACACCACAACATTGTGACCACAACTGTTTCCTTCTTTTTCTGGGAGAAATCGTTATAGCGATGCGGCAGCAGCAGTGCCACGATGCGATTGATGGCCACGTACATCTCCAGCCAGTTGCCGGCATACCGTAAGGTCATCAAAAGCCACGCAGTAGCTTTACAAGCTCCGGGATTAACGTGACCCTCGCTGACTTGTTTGTTGTAGACTTGTATGGCTATTGCTGGGGAACTGATAAAACACAGCACCGCATAGGAGGTTAACGAGTGGGCGATCAACAGTCCGCAACCGGTTCGCAGCTTGCTGGTAGACGCTATTAAAACAACGAGAACCACGTTACCGATGCCACCACCGAGGGACAACGACAGATACACCGATAACCACTCGATGAACCTGCGCACCGGGAGTTGGACATCGGAGCTGTTAGAGGACGAATTACCAGGAAAGGTCACATTTACCAACGACATCACCAATATCTTCCACAACAACACGACAACGTCAACAACACCTTTTTCTGTGAAATGCAATGCAATGCCTCGTGAGGGTGCAGTCAAGGTTGTCGCCTTAGCGCATTCTGGTGTTAAATATCGGTGGAGTTGATAATATTTGTAGCAGTTTCTTAATGCAATTTGGTAGAGTAGCATCGTTAGAGAGCTATTCTTGTTCGGTTACTATCGTCAGGTCTGTTTTTGAAAGCGTTTAATGGATTTCCGGACATTTCTTTTGTTTGTGATGATCGTTTTCCGGATTAAATGCTGCCAGCATATTTCAGAAGGATACATTTCAACTGGATTGGATATGGGCCTCATAAACTGTACCATTATATCTCCCAGGAAAAATAAGGCGGGCATCTACAGTAATACGGTTTTATCCGGTTAGAGGTGTGGCGTTAGTCATCCCGTTTTGCCGGTGTTTTTCCTTAATATTGATTTTTAGTGAACGTTGTAAAGACGTTGCACATAAGCAAGACTGAAACCTTCGCCAAAAAATACTCTGCATCTAATGGTAAGGTTAGGCACATAGTACAATACACAGCAATTATTACACGTATCTATATGCGTACTGTTTATATACACGCTCAAATAAAAAAGTCGCCAAATTGTTATTAATAAATGACAGAACGTTAACAGCACAATTTTTGGATAGCGGTCGTTACGTTTAGCAGGAGTAAATTCTGTTCAGTTTTGATACAATTGTGTCGAGTTGTGTGCATAATACTGCATATAAATATACTTACGATTAGTAAGGACAAAATGACAATTAGTACTAGAAAACTAATGCCGCACACGTATAGCCGGCACCGCTCAGGCGCTGCATGCAGTTGAAATTGTGAGTTACTGTACTCGTATGTCTTCTTTGACGTCGTTTGATTAGAGGTACATATGTACTCGTATTTTTCAACTTTCTTTGCTGCGTCGTACTCGTGCCATGATGCCCTCGTTATTTCTATCACAATACTAATCGCTCTGCTGAGCAAGCGAGTCGATCCCTCCGTTAAGTTATGGAAGCGGTTTTCAGTCCAGTCCGACGACCCTTTTCCTTCACCCGAAGATGGACGTCTGAGCGGTTGCGTGAGGAGATTTTAGGGAAAAGGTCACATTCAGACAGGATATCCTCCGTCATATCTATGTGTAGAACTGAATACGCTTTACAATGCACTTAAAATACCAACGCAAGATAAGCGTGGGCCGAGACTCGTGGAACTACCCGATTCCAGTGCACATATCCACCGGGCCGGGAGTGGTCTGACGGTGCTAGCAGGCTGATGGTACGTGCATAATGTGGTCGACGGAGGTGCGATTGTTTAGATGCTTTCCCAAATAGGAAGGCTATTTTTAGGAACTGGTAATATTTTTATGAATTAATACTAGTTTATGAATTATTAACAATCAATAATAATATGAATATTTTATGAATTAATAATGTGCTTTCACCTCTTTTTTGCTCCGCGACTGGCTTTAGACCGTGCATTTTCTCAGTGAAACGTTTATTTTATTAATTGTACATGGGCTGACGGATTTCAGACAAAGGAAACAAGCGTACACGGAAACAATTAAAGTAGTACCCTTGTACTACCAATTGGTCCATGACTTATGGACACCTTTCTCAGATTTGTTTTAGGAAACACGAACCACCGGCCCGATAAAAAAACTCCCTCAATGAAAAAAAGGATCGGAGTGATTAGGTAGTCACTTACAGACTTCGTCAAAAAATGAATATTTGAATACTTTTACCCATCCATGTATTGTAGTGAAACTGCCAAGTGCCAACCGAAATACAGTATCACTTCTGTAATTTTATGACTTGACAAGACATAATATCGATTTTGCTAAGGTCAAATGCATCAAATACTGCAATAGAAAAAAGTTTGTAAGAACTTCATGTTGAACCCCGGGTTGCCGTAGTGCTAACGGTTTTACTGTGCGATCGCGATCCTTCCGCTCTCGATCGTGATTCCGTTCCAGATCCAATCCACGTTGTTATTCGCAGAGATTTCATACCGCATCGTCGGAACAGCTCCATCCTATAGTCTTCCTTCATAATGAAAAATATAGCCTAAAAACGCAGACACGTTAAAGCATAATTAAAACAGATTATGCGCCTGAAGACACCCCCTTAAAAGAAATTTCGTTTTACCGGTATGGTGCCATAACCCAGCATGGCGAAGACGGCCAGCCACATGGCCGTCAACGGCATATTTATTTTCCGGTCATCGATAATTGGTGTGGCCGTCGCGACAATGGGCATCACTAGTAAACAGGCCGTACTCCACAAAAAGGTCACAAACATCGTATTAGCCGTAATCATGCGTTTTCGTTCCAAACGACGCGCATTCGCATTTTTCTGTTTGTTGTCCGCAGCGCTGATGACCTTCTTCCTCGTCACCATCTTTATATATAACAAAACGTACGAAACGGCTGTAAACGCTGCCGGTCCGTAAAACCCAATCAGTAGTATAACGTTACCCAGTTTTCCCATCGGGAACGCGCTGCAGTTGCCTAGCGGTGTGGACTCGTACGCTATGCCGATATTAAAACAGCCCAGCAGTCCTAGAACCGCCGCCATACACCACAACGCAGTGACCACAATTTTTTCCTTCTTTATCTGCGAGAAACCGCTATAACGATGCGGCATCAGCAGCGCCACGATGCGATTGATGGCCACGTACATGTCCAGCCAGTTGCCGGCATACCGTAAAGTCATCATAATCCAAACGATAGCTTTACAAGCTCCGGGATTAACGTGACCTTGGTTGACTTCTTTGCTGTAGATTTGAATGGCTATCGTTGGGAAACTGATAAAACACAGCAGCGCATAGGAGGTTAGAGAGTGGGCGATCAGCAGTCCGCAACCAGTTCGCAGTTTGCTGGTAGACGCAATTAAAATAACGAGAATCAGGTTACCGATGCCACCGCCGAAGGACAACAAATACACCGATAACCACTCGATGACCCTTCGCACGGGCAGATGGACATCGGAGCTGTTATAGGACGAATTGTCGGGAAAGGTCACATTTACCAACGACATCTTCCCCAAGATTTCCTTTGAAATGCGGAGCAGATAGCGAGGGTGCAGCCAAGGTCGTCGCTTTAGCGCATGCTGGCGTTGTAATAATTATCGGTGGTGTTTATTATATTTGTATTGGTTCGTTAATGCAATTTGTTAGAGTAGCACCATTAGCGAGCTATTCTTATCGTTCACTGGCTTCGGGTCTGTTTTGGAAAGCGGGTAATGGATTTCCGGACATACCTTTCCTTGTGCTGATCATCTTATTAGATTAAAGTTGTTAGCGTATTATCAGAAGGATACGGGTGCATTGGATCGGACATGGGCCTTAGAAACTGTACCATTATCTTCCAGGAGAAATTAGGTGGGTGCCTTTAACACGGTTTGTTCGGTGGATTTGTATGTACTCGTAGTGTGGATATCAGTCTGCCCCTTTAATCGGCATTTTCCTTTATACTTCTATTGATTTTTAGCGCATACAATAAGATTCCATGAGCAAAATGAAATTTGGCCAACAAATCACTCTATATCTAAGGTTAAGGAAGCAATAATTATTGCACCTGTGCGTTGTAAGTCGGCGCACTGTATACGCATTTAAATAAAAAAATTGCCGCTAGATTAACGTAAACTGTTATCCGTGCATTACAAAGCATTCAAATTTTTGTACAACGATAGTCAATTGTAGTAAAGTGAATTGAATTCGGTTCTGATATTTGTGCATAAAGCAGGACAAAATGATAATTAGGAAAAGCTAATGCCGCGCAGATATAACCACTCAAGCGCTCATGCAGTTTGTTGAAACTGTGAATTGATGACTTATTTAGTGCACCTCGATGTTTGCTACAGTGTTTTGTGTTAGGTACTCCGTACATAGTCTGCGGTATGCCGACAGTTGCGATTGATCAGGTGGTCACTAACAGACTTTACTTAAAAAACAATGCGATTGTTAATGGTTTGTAATGTAACTGCCCAATTCATATTTAATACCATACCCATTAACTCGTTTGTACTTTCACCGTAATGAAACTGACAACCCAAATGAAATATCGCGTTTATAATTTCATGAATCGACAAGACGGGTTGTAATATTATTTTCGCAAAGGTCAAGTGCATTAAATATAAAGATGCAATACGTGCGCGTGGTATGAATCAGAATTTGTTGGCATCAACTTGTTATCTGTTGGATTAGATTCGAAAATCGATGTCAACTGTTGAAGCTAGCTGACTTCCTAATTAATTTTGATACTAATTTTTCACGTCTCAATACAGTATATGGATCCTGCGATATCCTGCTGATTGGTCGGAATGGTATTTATATGGCACAGAACAGATACACAACACCATTGCTTCTAAAAACGGCAAAAAAGTAATATCTAAAGTAAGGCTTTGTAAGAAATTCATGTCGAGCCCCGGGTTGCCGTGGTGCTAACGGCTTTACTGTGCGAGCGCGATCCCTCCGTTCGCGATCGCGATTCTGTTCCGGATCCGATTTGTGTACTTATACGCAGCGATTTCAAACCACACCGCCGGAATAGCTCCATCCTGTAGTCTTCCTTCATAAAGAGGAATATGGCCTAAAATGGTCATGCACGTTAACACAACGCTAAGCAAGATACTAGTTTTTCAATGTGAACTGCATTTTACCGGGGTGGTGCCATAGCCCACCATGGCGAAGACAGCCAGCCACATGGCCGTCAGCGGCATCGTTATCTTCCGGTCATCCATGATCGGCGTGGCGACGGTGGCAATGGGCATCACCAGCAAACACACCGTACTCCACAAAAAGGTCACACACATGGTATTAGCGGTAACCAATCGTTTTCGTTCCATACGGCGCGCATCCTTTTGGTTATCAACCGTACCGTTGATGACCTTTCTCTTGGCCACCATTTTTATATACAACAGAACATATAAAACGGTTGTAAATGCTGACGGTCCATAAAAGCCAATTAATACAATGACATTGCCCAGTCTTCCAACTGGAAACGGAGTACAGTTGCCTAAAGGATTTAAATCGTACACCAAGCCGATTTTAAAGAAGCCTAATGCTCCTAAAACTGCAGCCGCACACCATAACACGGACACCACAATCATTTCCTTCCTTTTCTGTGAGAAAGCGCTATAACGATGCGGCAGCAGCAGCGCCACGATGCGATTGATTGCCACGTACATGTCCAACCAGTTGCCGACGTACCGTAAGGTCATCATAATCCACACAATAACTCCGCATGTTCTGGGATTGGCGTAGCTCCAATTGACTTCTTTGTTGTAGATCTGAATGGCTAATGTTGGGAAACTGATGAAACACAGCAGCGCATAGGAGGCTAAGCAGTGGGCAATAAGCAGACCGCAACCGGTTCGCAGTTTGCTGCTGGACGCAATCAAGGCGACAAGAAGCAAATTACCGACGCCTCCGCCAAAGGATAACAGTAAATACACTGATAACCACTCGATGACCCTTCGCACGGGAAGGTGGATGTCGGAACTGTTATAAAATGAATTGCTGGGAAAGGTCACGTTCGCCCACGACATTATAAATCCGTTTTCCGCTGTGTGTGCAGGAAGCGCGTCGGTAGCCGCCCTATATCTTCGTTGTTAAATATCGGATGAGTTCATTATTTGCTTCGTCTGTTTCAGGACAGCACCATTAGTGAAGCTTTCTCCTTGGTGACGAGCGCAGATTCTGTTTTTGGAAAGTGCCTAATGGATTTCTGGCAAAGATGCACTTTTTATTGTAATATGATGCTCTTCTCTTAGGGCTCCATAACGCTTTTGGGTGTGCTTGTTGTCTGCACTACGCACGTCCTGTTTTCCGAGTCGACTATTTACCGAATTATCTACAGGCGTGTAAGTGTCTGTTAGAGATAGGCATCGGATAGGAATATCCGATTTTATACCATCCGAATCCGAATTTCGGATAGATAAAAGGTAATTATCCGAAACGTTCGATGCGGATTAAGATAAGGATAATGTCCCGTAGCATTCGGATAAGGTCGGATAATAGCCCGATCCCACCCAGACAGACAGACACTGTCTACTTGTAGGCGTAGGATATACAGTATAGGTGACTAGGTACTTGTATATATAAGAACTTCGTGGGACTAATACTATTCGACGTGTTTTTTATTACGGAGTCTTCAGTGCATTTTGCTGCGTATGGCTCTATATTTCCAGGGCAAAAAGGACGAGCACTTAATACGGTAAATTAATCAAACTGTGAAAAGCATCATTAGCGATCGTGACCTTGAATTTATATAGGTGATGCGATATACTGTGTGTGCTTACTTGTGAACAATGTACAAAATAAGTCAAACAAAACGTAAGTAGTATTACAATGCTAAAGCAACAACTTCACCGGTAACAATTAAACTCACATTTCTTCGTTTAATTAATGCAAAAACTGCGGAAGATTGCTGCGCGCAATTACACAATGCACGCAATGACCGTCGATGTTAACGGACTAAGCAGCTGTCTGCCGAATTCAGATTTTAGCAACAAACCATATATCATCGCTCTGCTCGACATGAAAGTTGGAACCAGGGTTATTCAAGAAAGATATTCCTGTATTCCACATGCGTGGAGCATTGATCTTGCCATATTTAATGGATTCTGGGCAACAAACGGTCTTCGTAAGAGACAGTTTATTTCGGCAGTGGTGTCATTAAAATTTACAAAGGACTTTTGTTACCTTTTGTAATATGAAAACCGCGTATAAGAGATGCGCGCATTCCGCCTTTTAATCGACGGCGTGGGAATTTATGTACGGTACCAGTATGCAAACCTGGGCTGCGGCGAAAGCTGCTTGGGTTCTTCTTCTGCGTTGCAGATACGTAACGTAACAAAGTGTGGGGTAGTAACAAAAGCTAATCCACTGTGACAAACACCTCGACGGTTAAAATCATAAAGCTATATTTTAAAGCATCTTATGTGCCTCATCATAATTTTTAAAGCATCTTAAGCAACTCATTTAAAAAAGCTATATCCTGATGCTGATGTGCATATAAATTATCTGCTAAATTTAAATTCTTTCGCTCCCACCCTTCCTGTAAGGTGCAAAACGCATGCCTAGTGCGCTATTAATCGTTTAAAGGCGAGTCAGGAAGGTATGAATCGAAAACTGTTGTTGTACCTACGTAACTCATTTAATGCTGCAAGAAGCGTGCTCGTAATACTTTTTTTAGTTAGTGTAAATTTGAGGTGACTTTGATATTTGAGGCGATTTTGCACGGCAGGAGGGACGTAGTCACGTAGGTGAACGCATAGCGATTATGTGTTTAAATTTAATCCGAGGCAAAACCGTTTTCGTAAGCGAGTTTGTGTGAGGCCGTCTAATTAATTTTAGGGATCCTTGTCATGCTAC